ACCGATCGGGCCCAATTTGTGGCCACATATAAAGGGTTATAATACCCTCATTTTTAGTAGATTAAAATTCACCTATGACCATTATTGCAAAAGCTATTAATAATTAAAAAACACTGCAAAAATGCATGTTTTTTACAATGATCTCGATAAATAATGCACCGATTTTAATGCATAAAAAATGAAATTGTAGGTTTTTTTAATACCTACATGACATTTTTTCGGAGCAAAATAAGCTTTCTCATTTTTATATACATATTACCTATATATTATGTTATACAAATAAAATAAATAAAAAAAATTTAGTGTGATTATATATATATGCAGTGTAGCAATTTTTTTTATGATTGATTATATTTAAAAATCGATTATAATAAAAATATTTTACATTAATATTGGTAAAAGGGTAGTTTATAAGACTTGAAAATGGCAAAAGTAAAATATTCTTTCATAAACAATATAAGGGAATTTTTATTTTAAATTGCACAATTATATCATTCCAAGATTTAAAACGTAATTTTTAATCATTTTTTTTTAGCACAGGGGTGATTTATAAGGGTTGAAAAGTGTTATGAGATACAAATTCTTTCATAAGCAATGAGGAAATTTTTATTTTAAATAATTACACAGTTAAAGCATTCCAAGCTCTTAAAAAGTATTTTTTATCATTTTTATCAATACAAGGGTGGTTTTTAGGGGTTGAAAGGGAAAAATTCTTTTATTAGCTATAAGGTAACTGTCATTTTAAATAATTGCACGATTTAATCATTCCAAATATTTAAAAAGTAATTTTTTATCATTATTTTTTGCATAGGGGTAGTTTTTAAGGGTTAAATAAAGGGTCGAAAAGATCAAATTTATCATAAAACATGTAAACGTATCGTTTATCGTAAAACGATAAAACATGGAACATTATTTAATCGTTGTGCTTGAACAAGATTTTTATCAATAAAATGCTTAATACTTAATTTTTTCACTTAGGGGTAGTTTTTACCCCTAGAAAACAAAAAGCGTCAATCGGGCTTATGTCACCTTAGGACTTGAGTCTAAGATGCGCCTTATTCTAAATTTTCATGCAAATTCATGCAGTTTCAAAGAATTGATTTTCAGTTTCAATGACTACTATTTTAGCTTGGCTAGAGAGTTAATTAAAAACTAAAACAGATGCCTAAGACATATTTCTATATTCTTTATAGATTTTTTTTTAACGTATTACAACTTACACCATCGTTTTAAATTCTAGATTCCCGAAGGGGAGTGTCCAGAACTGGGCCTAGCGGTTCAGAATCACTTCTGCGCCATCAACATGCGGTTAGGCAAAACGAAAAAACATTCCAAACATAGACAGTCGTTGGTCACTCTCTCCAGAAGGTAATTGCTGCAACTCTGCGGTACAAAGTCGCCAAGTAATGATATTTCTTCGTCGTTTGCAGACACAGTTTAGTAAAGATGCTGGACTGCAGCGAATTAGACGGGCCGCCGCCTCTACGCAGGGCGAGCACGGTAGAGACGTCTTCCAGTCCTCCCATGCACCACACGTCACGGCTGACTCGGAGGGCCTCTCTTGACGACCTCGAACAAGAAACGTGTCAGCTGACACCCAAGATCGAGCAGAGGATTATCGTGATTAACAATGAAGAGGTAATTTCACCGCAATATACGATTTTATTGCTGTAATGTGGTTATCGATATATTTTTTAATTTTTTAGCGTCGTCAGGAGTTAATCCACCAACGTCAAAGAATAGAGCAGGACTCGGTCATTGAAGAAGTGGACGACGAAACCTCTCCTCAGAACTAAACAGTATTTTAAAACGTTAGCAATCCCGAAATTTAATTTCTAATCTGTGACTAATAACTGCAGCAATTATTTTTTACAAGGTACGCTTCTGAAAGAACACCATTTTGAGCATTCCACAACGAAATTGTGACTAACATGCTTTTAGAAATAACTACAGTTACCACACGAACAAATTTATAATCCGTTGTCTCGAATTGCATCAATTTGCTTTAATTAGGCAACTAGGGCGTCTCGATTTGCAGAGGTCGAGCCTTACTTGGTTGCAGAATTGCTCAAAATAAGAAAAATTTCGATAAATGTGGGTCGGGAAGTGCTTAATTTCCGAGATACAGGGTGTTCATTCATCTTCGAGACTTTCCGTACGAACGCTCCTTATTGCGAACGAAGCATTTCTTCTGTCACCAAATAGAGTTCGGCTTTTGTAATTTGGGACACCCTCTGTAGCAGTTAATACGTTTGGTTCAATATTATGATGCCACGACAAGATCAAAACTATCTTACGAATTCCGACTCTTACGTGACCAAAAAATAAAAAATTTCGGCAGCCTTATTGTAAAATAGCTAGACACTATTTCAATTGATAACTGTCGTAGGAGAACTGCACTCGCTCATATACGCACCGGTCTGTGTTAAAAGTGTAAGCTTACGCCCATATTTCGCTTAATACTGGATGTTAGATGTAAGGACAGCTAAGATATTGTAACGCGCACTTTTGAGATGTAATTTTCTTGTAACTTATAGTTTCCGTGAAATGCATAGGGTGAAGCAGCACTTTCTCACTGAAAGATTTATCTAACAAATAATCCAATTATTAATTAGAAAAAAATCACCAGTAATACGCCGATAGACCACATCGTTTGCGGTATACGTAACATCACTACTTATTATCGAAGTTATCTTCCAACTTGTAACTTATAATAACTTGTCTTCTCTTTATCCTTCTTATACAAATAATATAAGTAATAATATGTCACCCCTTCCCCACATAATATCTGACCTCTAGACTAATCCCTATGATCAAAATGAGAGGTAGGGGTACTATTATTACTATTAATTATAGTCCAGGCGCTATCTGTTTCGGGTTGGGTAAAACGCATATGATCAGAGATTTTTGCTTTAACGGCTTCTAAATAACATCAGAAATGATAATTTTTCTATGCAAATAAAAAAAACGTGGGCTTAATTGTTATTGCAAAAAAGTATAAAAAAATTGCAAAACAATTCATTTTTTTTCTTGGATTTCTCGTCAACAACTTAGCAACTATTCGTTTTAAACAAAAATGGAAGAGGAAAAAAGGTTTTGTAATTAAATTTTGAACAAGATAGAGTTAGTTGCAATGCGAAAAAATAATTATTGTTGTTGCAAAAATCCGAAAAATCATTTAAAAAATTGCAAAAATGCTAGTTTATTTGTCAATTTTTTTTCAGACACTTGAATAATACTTACGTTCTTCATACTTTTCCTAATTAAACTTCTTAGTGCATAGAATCATCACACCAAATTTCATCCAATTCGGTTTGATAGTTTTTACATAATATGTAATTGTTTAAATTTTTTTTTTTAATTAAAAAAATTTTCAAAATCAAATTTCTAAAAATCTAATGCCTTTGAATACTTGAAATTTTCACCACAAAAAGAAGAGCTCTCAAGCTTTAAAATGCTTTTTGAAAAATTCAAATCGGACGATTAGGTGAGCCGTGGTGATTGTTTAAACATTTTCGCAATTTTCACGCTTATAAACAATTGCAATAATTTAATGTTTTTTTAAATTTTTTTTTATTTTAAAATATGGTTTGAAAGTACTCGGAAAGACGAGTATTTAAAAAAAAACCTGATGATCCGCCCATTATTTTCGGAGTTATAGCCCGTTAAAGTTAACCCTTATTTACAGCAAAACTATAAGGGTATAAGGGCTGTTTTTTGAACTAATAGGTTTGTCATTCCGAGTACTTTCCAGATATAAATTTTCAAAATTTGCAATCACGGGCGTCCCATTTAAAATGTCACTCAAAGATATTTAAGATATTTAAAATTATTATGTAAAAACTCGAACCGAATTGGATGAAATTTGGTGTGATGATTTTATACACTAAGAAGTTTAATTGGGAAAAGTATGAGGATCCTAAGTATTATGCAAGTGTCTGAAAAAAATTGACAAATAAACTAGCATTTTTGCAAATTTTTAAATGATTTTTCCGATTTTTGCAACAACAATACTTATTTTTCCAAATTGCAACTAACTCTATCTTGTTCAAAATTTAATTACAAAACTTTTTTCTTCTTCCATTATTGTCTAAAACGAATAGTTGCTAAGTTGTCGAGAAATCTAAGAAAAAAAATGAATTTTTTTGCTATTTTATATACTTTTTCGCAATAACGATTAAGCCCACGTTTTTTTTATTTGCATAGAAAAATTATCATTTCTGATGTTATTAGAAGCCGTTAAAGCAAAAATCTCCGATCATATGCGTTTTACCCAACCCGAAACAGATACCGCCTGGACTATTAATTTCAACTTTATTACCACTTTTGCCAAGCAAAAAAAAACAAAAATAATAATTTGTTTCTAAACCTTATTTTAAAAAATGCTTTGACTTTTACTCAGTAAAATAAAAAGAATCGTCCTCCACAATTCAAGTAAATGAAGCGTATAATACCCTGTGCACCTTTTTATAGTTTTTATCTTTATTAGGTACGATCGTTTTTGTCTTTATTAGGTACGATTAGATTGTTTTGTTTTTTAATCATCACTATACATGGTGCCTGACATCTGTTGGTTTTTTTTTAAGTTATTTTGACTTCTGGTAAGACTGAAGTCATTGATATTGACAGATACAGATCGATTTACATTTGAACAACGCTAAGAAATATTTGCTATTCCAACGATCCACAAACGATGCACTTTGCTGTTTGTGAAATAGATCTACAAATAATTTACTAATGTACTGTAAAATTAGGTTAACGGGTTCAATCGATCAGATAGTGTACTTTTTTGATTAAAATAAGACGGGTTGAAATGTATGGAACAGTGTAGATTTAATGACAATTTCAAAAAAATACCAACAGATGACCCACCCTATAGATACGACTTAAATAGATATTGATAAGTACCGTAGTCGACTGCCATTTTGGGGCCAACTGCCAACCTTGAACTATAGATTTTCAATACATTTCTACACAATTAATTTTCACATATTTTGAACAATTCATTGCCAATACCTCAATATTTCTATTTATAATACTACAATGAAATTTTAATAGCTTTTTTATATAAATAACACAAATTGACATTATATCAGACCACCATTTTGAGGAAAACAAGAACATTGATTGCGGTACTTGGTCAATATAGGGACTTTAGTACAATGTAAAGTCCCTAGATATTAATAAAATATCTCAACCGCCATTTTGGGGTAAATTCCTTATTGCCAACTTTGATATATAAATTTAAATTTTCCATAAATTTGTATGCTGTGAATTAAGTTCACACATTTTGAACAATTTATAACGTAGTAAACCCAATATTTTTTTATCCAAATTACAATCAAATCTTGAATTTTTTATATAAAATGGCACATTGACATATGTCAAACTGCCATTTTGAGGCAAATGAGAATAATGGGTTGTGGTACTTGGTCGATGACTTTAGTACAACATAAAGTCCCTAGATTTATGCTATTTGTATAAAACTTAAAATTTAATTGTAGTATTTTAGATAAAGTATAGAAACGTATAATTAATTATTAAAAATATGTGAAAATTAATAAACCGTATAAAAATATATTGAAAATTAAAACATAGTTCAGCATTGGCAATAGAGTATTGCCCCAAAATGGCTGTTTGGCGACTTTCATACAGACAATTTTTTTTATTTAAAGACGAGTTATCCAACAAACACTGGTAAGCCTAATAGTACAGTTTTTACAAAGAACAAAACATTAAGTATTAGTCGACATTTACCATAGAATGGAAACTAGTCAATTAAAGTGATTGTTTGTTAAATATCATGTAATGATTTTATTTATTCTCACCTGTTGAAAAACACTGTTTGTTAAAAAATAAGGCATTATTTATATATGTTTATGTAATACTAAAGATGCTAAATAAATATACATTTTTTCATAACAGTTTATATTCGTTTTTTTCAACACAGATCAGTTTTATACGACATAAAAAAATATTTATGCAAACTTAATAGTTTCTAAATTAACTAAGCTTATACTACAAATGTTATTAAAGAGTTAAATAATATTGGCACAGTACTAAATCCCAGTCTGTATTATTTTTTTTTAATATAAGCAAAAAGTAACGCAAATAACCTACGACGTGATTAACCTATTATTTTCAGCTCATTCAGAGATAATTCGGAAAAAAATGTTTACTGACAATATAAGGCCGTTTACCTCAAAATGGAAAACGTAAAATTCATAAATAACCAACCTTTTGCTCCTCAATAAAGTTTAAAGTTAATACTTCAACAATACTAAACATGCGATTCCACAAATTATCACTCTTATGCTCACAGATCGGTTTTCGGCCCTAGTGAAAGGGGTATAGCTGCCAACTCTGTCCTAAGACATAAAAATTCACCACACACACACATTAAAGTTGCGCAGGCTACGTTAAGCACCCACCNTTCCTTTTTAATAAACTTTAATTACAGAAGACAGAGAATCCTCTGAAGAAAGTGGCGAGGCAAGTGGAGCAGAGGGTGATGTCTCTGATACGAATGAAAATGAAGGATCGTGTGAAATTTGAACGAATACGCCTATATATATTTTTTATTAATGTGACCGAATAGTAGAAATATGGGTTGTTTATTTATATTTTCAAATATAATTAGATCAATTTTATTATTATTGTCACTTTCCATTTTGTTTTATAAATTGATATTTATGATAATAAATTTGATAAAATGTGTAAAAATTTTCCATAAACGCATGAAATCAATTTTAAAAATCTTGCTACGACACGCCGCGCGCCATTATTCTATGGCTAGAAATTGGCCTCAATGATTTGGGATCGAGGGGGATTATCCCTCTTTATCCTGCCTCATCTCGTGTAGGCCTGGACAGCCTTCGTAGGTGGGCCCCATCCGTCGTCTACCCCGACCGCAAATGCGGCCGGTGTAGGCGCTTTGTGGGACCTCCTTTTGTCCTGGCTGGGCCCCGCCGGCTAGGGCCCTTTCTTCTGGCGCTCTTCTTGCTTCGCCGGCTCGTCTGTGTAAACCCCGGGGGTAGTGTCATGTTTATGTGTGGTATGGTTGGGTAGGGTAGTGCGGCTATGCAGCCTGGGATGCGCTTTGCTAAGGTGGCCCTTAGGCTAGCGCGGGAGGGGAGGGGTAAGGAGGGTATGGGGTGTGTGTATGTGTGTGTGTGTGTCGTTGTCTTCGTTTCTTGATCCTGGCTGTCTCTGAAACAGAAAAGGTTAGCGGGCAGGGGGGGGGTCATTGGGGTGGTCACCCAGGGTCAAAAAGTTGGTGTCTAGGTCTTTTGTGTTTGTCGGTCACGTCGGGTCGAGTTCAGTGCGAACAGAAAAGGTTAGCGGGCAGGGGGGGGGGGGTCATTGGGGTGGTCACCCAGGGTCAAAAAGTTGGTGTCTAGGTCTTTTGTGTTTGTCGGTCAGCTTGCTACGACAGGCAACTGGCGCAAGAATGTAATAAATAAACAGATTTTATTTCCAGCGTATTCGCTGAAATTTCACAAAACCTTTGCCATGACACTCGTACCATGAAACGGGCTGCGGTACGGCTGTCGTGTGGAATGACTCTAACGATCTTGATCCTAACCTAACTCACAGAGCAGGGATAGTGTTTTCTGTTTTTTTATTTGTCTGTGCTGTGACCTAACCTCAACCCAAAATTTGAATGAGTGGTGGCCAGAAATGGCCAAGAAAAAACAAATTAATTTAGGTAAGTTCCATGTTTTATCACATTACCGAAATTATTTAAATTCCTTTTTAATAAACTTTAATTACAGAAGACAGAGAATCCTCTGAAGAAAGTGGCGAGGCAAGTGGAGCAGAGGGTGATGTCTCTGATACNCGCCTGGACTATTAATTTCAGCTTTATTACCACTTTTGCCAAACAAAAAAAAAAACAAAAATAATTTGTTTCTAAACCTTATTTTAAACAATGCTTTGACTTTTACTCGGTAAAATAAAAATAATCGTCCTACACAATTCAAGTAAATGAAGCGTATAATACCCTGTGCACCTTTTTATAGTTTTTATCTTTATTAGGTACGATCGTTTTTGTCTTTATTAGGTACGATTAGATTGTTTTGTTTTTTAATCATCACTATACATGGTGCCTGACATCTGTTGGTTTTTTTTTAAGTTATTTTGACTTCTGGTAAGACTGAAGTCATTGATATTGACAGATACAGATCGATTTACATTTGAACAATGCTAATATTTTTTTCAAATCGCCTACTCAGCTGCAGAAACATTCGTCGGTCATCATGCAGCTGCGATTTAATGCCGCTGAACTTTTTTTGTGGTAAAATGTCGAGGACCGTTCACTGCTATTCCAACGATCCACAAACGATGCACTTTGCTGTTTGTGAAATAGATCTACAAATAATTTACTAATGTACTGTAAAATTAGGTTAACGGGTTCAATCGATCAGATAGTGTACTTTTTTGATTAAAATAAGACGGGTTGAAATGTATGGAACAGTGTAGATTTAATGACAATTTCAAAAAAATACCAACAGATGACCCACCCTATAGATACAACTTAAAATCCTTAGATATTGATAAGTACCGTAATCGACTGCCATTTTGAGGCCAACTGCCAACCTTGAACTATAGATTTTCAATACGTTTCTACACAATTAATTTTCACATATTTTGAACAATTCATTGCCAATACCTCAATATTTCTATTTATAATACTACAATGAAATTTTAATAGCTTTTTTATATAAATAACACAAATTGACATTATATCAGACCACCATTTTGAGGAAAACAAGAACATTGATTGCGGTACTTGGTCAATATAGGGACTTTAGTACAATGTAAAGTCCCTAGATATTAATAAAATATCTCAACCGCCATTTTGGGGTAAATTCCTTATTGCCAACTTTGATATATAAATTTAAATTTTCCATAAATTTGTATGCTGTGAATTAAGTTCACACATTTTGAACAATTTATAACGTAGTAAACCCAATATTTTTTTATCCAAATTACAATCAAATCTTGAATTTTTTATATAAAATGGCACATTGACATATGTCAAACTGCCATTTTGAGGCAAATGAGAATAATGGGTTGTGGTACTTGGTCGATGACTTTAGTACAACATAAAGTCCCTAGATTTATGCTATTTGTATAAAACTTAAAATTTAATTGTAGTATTTTAGATAAAGTATAGAAACGTATAATTAATTATTAAAAATATGTGAAAATTAATAAACCGTATAAAAATATATTGAAAATTAAAACATAGTTCAGCATTGGCAATAGAGTATTGCCCCAAAATGGCTGTTTGGCGACTTTCATACAGACAATTTTTTTTATTTAAAGACGAGTTATCCAACAAACGCTGGTAAGCCTAATAGTAGTTTTTACAAAGAACAAAACATTAAGTATTAGTCGACATTTACCATAGAATGGAAACTAGTCAATTAAAGTGATTGTTTGTTAAATATCATGTAATGATTTTATTTATTCTCACCTGTTGAAAAACACTGTTTGTTAAAAAATAAGGCATTATTTATATATGTTTATGTAATACTAAAGATGCTAAATAAATATACATTTTTTCATAACAGTTTATATTCGTTTTTTTTTCAACACAGATCAGTTTTATATGACATAAAAAAATATTTATGCAAACTTAATAGTTTCTAAATTAACTAAGCTTATACTACAAATGTTATTAAAGAGTTAAATAATATTGGCACAGTACTAAATCCCAGTCTATATTATTTTTTTAATATAAGCAAAAAGTAACGCAAATAACCTACGACGTGATTAACCTATTATTTTCAGCTCATTCAGAGATAATTCGGAAAAAAATGTTTACTGACAATATAAGGCCGTTTACCTCAAAATGGAAAACGTAAAATTCATAAATAACCAACCTTTTGCTCCTCAATAAAGTTTAAAGTTAATACTTCAACAATACTAAACATGCGATTCCACAAATTATCACTCTTATGCTCACAGATCGGTTTTCGGCCCTAGTGAAAGGGGTATAGCTGCCAACTCTGTCCTAAGACATAAAAATTCACCACACACACACATTAAAGTTGCGCAGGCTACGTTAAGCACCCACCATGAAAATGTGGTGGGAAACTGTCCGTTATAAAACCAACAAATCACTAAATGGATTATGTGCCATGTACAGCTGAAGTCCATACATTGCTTTGTTCTTTCTACAATGTACCACAGGACGGCGGCCCTGGAAACGAAAATTATGATTACTTCTAGTATTTAATGTATGTACTTCTAGTTATTACCCAAATAGTGAGTTTATTACGAAACTTGAGATCACTAAGCGTCCTCCAATGTCTCGTACTTGGATTTCCTACAAATTAATATTATTAGTCAAACAAGCAGGTGATGAATGTAAAGGTTTACATGATATTCAAATATATGATCCAGCGTCCTCGTATCACCAATAAGTGTTCCTAATAAAGTTATCGTAATACCCAACGTAACATATAAGATGCATTGGACAGATAAAATTTGAAAAATAATTAGCCACGGATCCCACTGGGTGTACCGAAACGAACCTGTTAATTTCTTCATTTTTCTTTTTCTTTATCAACAAAAATGTGTATTTTCACTTATCACTACCTCTAAGTCATATTAAATGAATTATTTATTAATACATTAATAGGCCTGAACTATGTTACACACCATCTTGCAAAATAATTTAGTCACAAATAAATTCAATTAAAATTTGACATTTCACTCAATTCAAATCCAAATTAGTGAATTGTGAAGTGACATGACTATCACCATAGATTAGGTACTATCACAAAAAAAAAACATATTTCATTCTCGTCACATACATGAAATATGAAATTAGACAATAGTCAATATTTCACGATGTTCACTATATGAATACAATCTTTTTACAAATATTATTGCTCACTATCAGGATTTACATATATCTGCCCTCAAAATTAGTTATGGGAAAAAATGTAACTTACATAATCATTTTTGTTTCAAAAATGTATAAAATGAATAAAGAAATAATAAGAATGTTTATATACACCACAGACTTCTAATATAAAACTTCGAAGTCTGTGATATACACAGATTATAATATTTTGGTCCGGGTTGAATCATCTATGGGTTGAATAACTTGTCTGTTCATTTAAACAGGCCTAAAGTATAAAACCCTAGAAGACGTCTTGAATTACCAACACAACATATATTAAGTATCTAAAGAAATATAAAATTGAATTTGATTTATTTCCTACAAGGCTACTTGTACTTGCAATTAAGTTATGTAATCGTATATTTCAAAATATTAAATTTAATTAATAGCTAATATTGTTAATTAATGATTATATTCTTCACTTTATAACGAGTAGGTTGTTGCACTTTTGACAGGGAAGTTTCGTCGCTATGAGTCATTACCCTGTGTGACATCATCAATTGAAGTGACAAACTGCTAAAAACCCAACCTGAACATGGCGTCCGATGGAGAAGATTTTATAACCGATCAGGAGAAAGTGCGAATAGTGTCCGATTTCATTCTCCACTCACCACCGGGAGAATTCAACGAGGTATTTAACGATGTGAGGAAGTTATTAAATAACGACGATCTTCTAAAAGAAGGTGCTAGTGGGGCATTCGCCCAGTACAACAAGGATCAACTGACCCCAGTTAAAATAGAAAATACAGATCATCTGGTGCTAATTACAGAATACAACGACCTGGGAAACAATAGGTTTTTCGACCCCAGAAGTAAGCAGAGCTTCAAGTACGATCATTTGCGAAAGGAGGCTTCCGACTACCAGCCTTACACCCCTGATTCTGCTGCGGAGCCTTGGAGAGCAGCCTTAGATTCGGAATTTAATCAGTATACCAAGAACCATTACAAGGACGGAGTGTGCAGTGTAGTAGGCCGAAGCCAAGGAGGCGTAATAACACTTAATGCTTGTATCGAAGACCACCAGTTCCAACCAAAGAATTTTTGGAATGGAAGATGGAGATCGCAATGGTCCGTGACATTAAACGGAGGTTCTACTGCTGAAATTAGAGGCGTGTTGAAAGTACAAGTTCATTACTACGAAGAGGGCAATGTCCAGTTAGTGAGTACTAAAGAAATAAAGGAATCGGTTAGCGTATCTAGTGAGGCCCAAACAGCAAAAGATATAGTGCAAGTAATCGAGGCCGCTGAGAATTTGTACCAAACGGCCATTTCGGAGAATTACCAAACTATGTCAGACACGACATTTAAGGCTTTGAGAAGACTCCTTCCCGTCACCCGTACGAAAATCGATTGGAGTAAGATTGTATCATATAGCATTGGCAAAGAACTAAAAACACAATGATTATTGACTGAGTTTTAATGTAAAGAACGGCTATTTTCCGCCTTCTTGTTGCTTAGGAATGTTTTGTAAATAATGGCCCAATCTTGTTAAGTTTTTCGACAACAGGGATAGCCAAATTAGACTAATTACATAAGAGCGCTTCTTACAATTACTATTATATCAAAGTGTTTGATTTCAAGATCCCAAATTGTCCTTCTGTCATGAAAATACTATGAAATGGGTACTCTTTATGGTTTATATTCATCATTACATTTATCGCTGCTTCATTCATTTTTAAATGTTGTCGTAAAAGTATTTCTAATGCTTTCTACTTTATTTTTGTAAGTATTAATAATTTTAAGTCTATCCCTGTACGGTTTACGGAGAGTGTGCAATAAGCGACACTGTAACACCGTACCATTGCTTGACTATTGGCTTTATTATTTTATACTATTATTATATTCATAAAAGTCTTATAATTCCTTATATCCTTAATAATGATTCCTTGAAATATATTTTGTTATTTTATATGTTGTAATTACGTAGGGAAGATTTTCCATCTCTATCGCTGCCCTTAAATATTAAATAATTTATATATCTTGTTAGAATCAAACCGTTGTATGGGTTATTTTTAAATAAAAAAATTTAGTAACAACCTTTCGTATTATTCAGATTTCTTTATCATATCTTTGTTTATTAGAACATAAACCTTCTTTTATCAGCAATCGTGAGATATGCAAATTAACACAAACATGGTACGTTAATTATCAAATTGTTTAATTACTTCATCGAAGTCAATGAAGTTCCATTGGGGCTCCTCAGATTTTTCTTCCAACTTTGGCATATTTGGTAGCTTTGCGGGCAAAGGTTTCTCGAAGAAGAATTTATGTTTTAACGCCTGAAATGTAAATAAACTGTAAAATCACAAAAAGTTGCGATGACTCCTCACTTCTCTAGCAGATATTCTTTTCGCACCATTGTATAGAAGTACCCTGCTAATCAAATTTAAAGTAACGGCATCTGCGCCGGGTAAAACAATACTCCATCGTTTTCCCACATTTGGTGTGAACGCAATTTTGTTATAATCTGGCAGTTGCGTTAAACCTGGCCACGTGTCTTCATTTGGTGTTCCTAAAGTACTCAAAACGATAGCAAGTTGTTCAATATCCGTTTCGCCCTAAAAAGTAAACAATTGTTGGCATTTTCTACAAGGTACAACGTATATAAGCCTAAAATTTTTTAATCGTACTGGAAACAATGGTTGTCGGTTTATCATTTCGCCTAATATGCACCCCACAGACCACATATCAACCGATGGCGTGTAAGTTCTAGACCCATACAACAATTCCGGTGCTCTATACCATCTTGTAGCTACTTGGTGAGAATACAGACGATGTTTGTCGTTGCCATAAATTCTGGCCAATCCAAAATCGGCTATTTTTAAAATCCCCTTGCTACTAATAAGTAGATTAGCTGGTTTTAAATCCTAAAATATTTTCAGGAAGTAAGAAATACCAATGTCTTAATACATTACCTACTCTGTGCATAACGTGATTTTGATGCATATAATTTACACCGGACAGAATCATCTTGGTATAAGTTTTAACTTGGGAGAGATTTAATGATATCGATGTGTTTTTTATTATCTCTGCCAGGGACCATGGCAAAAATTCCATGACTAACACAATGGAACTACCCATGCTTGTGACTTCGATAAGTTTAACAATCTATGAAAAAGGAATCAAAATTATTAAGTAGATATACTTAACTCGATATATACTGTACGTGGTTTGATTTTAAAGCTCGTAAAGCACAAATTTCTCTCATGGTATTTTTTGGAACTCCTGTATTTGGATTAAAAATAATTTTTTTCAAAGCAACCATCTTTTCATTACGTAAATCCATTCCTTTAAAAACAAATCCGTGAGCACCTTCCCCAGCACGTCCTAGTAATTTGTAGTTATTCATGTTTTTACTAATTTTGCAACAAATCAACTTCTAATAATTCAAAATCCAAATGTTTTCATATCAAAATAGATTTAAGGATTCGTACGTTGCTATGGCAACTGTTACATTAGTATTAGGCAACCAATATAATTCGTTTGCTGTAAAATGGGTTGCATAAAAATAAAAAATCCAATAAAGAGTAAAGAGGATAAAGTCCCTCCTCGATTATTGGGAAGAATAACGTGCGCTGGCCAAGTACCCAAAGGTGGAGACCATTAACTAAAGAAGAAGAGGATAAAGTATAGGGCCTTTCGATTTGGCAAAAATAGTAACTATTAGTAGCTCAATNTCTAACGATCTTGATCCTAACCTAACTCACAGAGCAGGGATAGTGTTTTCTGTTTTTTTATTTGTCTGTGCTGTGACCTAACCTCAACCCAAAATTTGAATGAGTGGTGGCCAGAAATGGCCAAGAAAAAACAAATTAATTTAGGTAAGTTCCATGTTTTATCACATTACCGAAATTATTTATCTTCCTTTTTAATAAACTTTAATTACAGAAGACAGAGAATCCTCTGAAGAAAGTGGCGAGGCAAGTGGAGCAGAGGGTGATGTCTCTGATACGAATGAAAATGAAGACAATGGTTTAACAAACAGTGGTTGGGCGGATTCGATATCAAAAATATTGAAAACAAATAAACCGAAAGGAAAAAAGACCATAGTTCTATCAAAAGCTAAGAAATTAACTGATTTGAGAAAGGAAAAATCTAAACCGGCAGGTTTTGAAGTACAAACGGTTAGTGGAGAAGTAAAAGAAGAGAAAGTTGACATTACAGAAAATGTTCTTACAGAAGAACCACCTCAAAAAAAGGTAAATATTTTGAATCTGTGTTGAGGTACTCTATTTACACTTTTTCATTTTAGAGACGGACGTTATCTGATTTACGTGTTAAACCGAACATATTAGAAAAAGACAGAGAAAGAACGTTACAAAAAATAGCTACAAAGGGAGTTGTTCAGTTGTTTAATGCAGTAAAATCACAGCAGAAGCAGATTAGTGAAAAGTTAAAAGAAGCTGGTCCTTTAGAAGTTAGAAAAGAAAAGGTTCTGAAAAATATAGATAAGAGGGCATTTTTGGATGTGCTTATGGGGGAAAAATCACAGAAAATTGATGACGTTAGTATCAAAAAAGTAGAACCATCCTATACTGAAAGCCAAAAGAAAAATGAGTCGGTGTGGAGTGTTTTAAAGGACGATTTTATGATGAGTGCAAAAATGAAAGATTGGGATAAAGTGTTAGAAGAGTCAGATAATACGCAGATCGTTACACCAGATTAATTATTGATATATCAATTTTTTTAATAAAGTTATATTTTACTTTGCTTCATTAATTTACTTATTGTTTATAATTAAAGTTAAAAAAGGAAGTTAAGGCCAGTTAGATTGAAAGATTATGTAAATAGTTATTAAACACATTTTTTGTATTTAAATATGGTTAATGCCGAATATTAAAATAGCAAATATTTGAATATATATTCAAAATTACCAACCTGGAAGAAAAAATTTTTTTCATTTCAAGATCTTTGATCGAGCACGCCCTAAATTAAATATACTAAAAAGAGCACGCTCCTGTGATCATAAGTGATCGCTCACTTAGCAGGAACCATTTTATATAGCAAATAATCTTTATTATCAGTAATCACTGAATACAGAATCTAAATTTAACCCATACTAATGACTTTTCAAGAAAAATTTGGAAACAGCATCGGAATTTAATAGGTTACATTTCAAAAAATGTCGATTTCATCATGAGAGAAGTGATGCTAATCGAATACCTTTATACTACGCCATAAGGAAGTTTTACTTTTCATTGTTGTTTGTAGATGTCACTAGTATCACTTGTCAGTACTGTCAGTGTCAATAAATATGTCCAAGAGATTTTACGGACGTAAACATCCATAAATTTTCTTAATGGATTTAAAATATAAGTGCAAGCAAATGTTCCCAATTCAATGGCTATTTTTGAAAGGCAAACTACTCAAAAAGTTGTGCTAGATGATACTCACCCCATAAAATGTACGATTGAAAATTGGCAAAACGTTAATGGACACACGGTAAGTTTTTAATATATCTTGATTAATTGATGATAATTGAATCCTTTTGAAAGGAATTTGTTATAAAGGTTCAAAGAGGGCCTTATTTAGACGAGACTTGGAAAATCAATAAGAGATATAATGATTTTTATAAGTTACACGGTGTTTTACAAACTTCTGGGATCCCCCTTGATCTTCCTCCAAAAAAACTTATTGGCAACATGGACCCACAGTTTATTACCGAGAGACAACAGGGTTTGCAGGTAAATTATCTTGGCACGGTATAAATAGCAATTTTGCTTAAGAAATTTCGTTACATGTTTTGATAATGTTTTAGAAATATTTAAATAGCGTATTCATGAATCCAATATTAGTTTCGTCTCTCCCTGCTAGATCTTTTGTAGATCCAGCTAACTACTGTCAACCGTTTGGTGGTAAGAATTTTATTTTTTGACAATAAATGTATGGTTTTATTTGTTTATTTTTATTTTTAGAGTTGGCACTCCAACATGTCTCACTAGCTTTACGGTCAGAAGTAGGGTGGGAGGTGGTTGGGCCCCTTCCAGATATAGGTTGGAGGTTAAGAAAACATTTTTATCAGGTAAAGTGTAAAATGTCACCCAAAGAAGAATATATAGCTGGTTGGACTGATTACGGCCCAGATAAATATTTAGACGACAAAGATATGCATGCCATCTTCAAAAGCATCGGTCAAATCCAGGTAAATGTGCGACATATCTAGAAATTCTAAGCCGTATATATTTTTATGTAAAATTTTAGCATCCGTTCATACATTCCATTAACCTGTGTCTTAGTACGGACATTGGAGGTCTTGTAGTGAGAGTAAATAATAAGAATGGTACCTTGAGGGACACTTTGTGTGGGGCAAAACCTAGACAGACTTTTCTGAAAAAATACGGAAACCCCAAAGGACATAAAACTTTAGTGAAAGATCAGATCGCGCTGTACGGACGACAGCTATTAGAAGCTTTAAAGTTTCTCCACGACAAGGGACTCCCTTATGGTAATTCATGTTTTTATTTTAAATTTTTTTTTAAAATATTGCATTTAAACTCTAATTTGTTAGGACATCTACATACTGGTAATATCATGATAGAGAACGAAAGGGTCAAGTTGTTAGATGTCGAGAATGGTATTCTGGGGGTACCTTCGTTTTACCGACCGTATTTCATGCAACACAGGAAGATAAACAATTTACAGGCCATCGACGTCTATTGCTTTGGACACGTTTTGTATGAAATGATGTTTGGGGCGCCGCTGCACGAGAGTGTCATAGAATACATTCCGGACTGTCCTATTAGTACGCAATACCATATCTGATTATTCCGAAATAATTCATATATTATTTTTATTTTTAGAATCTATCTTGCAAAGGATATTGTCTCCGGATGCCTGTAAAAACGGCCTTCCTACAGTCGCCGACCTACTCAACGATCCGTTCTTCTCTTCTACGCAATTGAGCTTTTTGCCAACTGACAAGGCACACCTCAAGATACCCAGTTCTATTAAAGAACGTTTGAGAGAAACCATCGTGAAGACTGAAGAAAGGTTGAGGGAGGAGCAGAAGATGGTTCGTAGTCAGAAGAGACTCGTGAAGGTACAGGAAATGATGAGTTCTGAGGAGGAGAAAAAGAAACAGAGGCATAAAATGGTAACTTTAAAGATTTTTGGCTAAATCATTCTTAAAAAATAGATTCGTCATTCGTGTATCGTAAAATAAGATGATATCTTTTCGGTTTCAGAAACGTGAACGTCAACTGGCCAAAGAACAGCAGCTGGAGAGCAGGAGTAACGAAAAAGTCAGCAATGGGGATAGATCTGACAGTGTAAATAGTAGTACAGCGACTTCTATAGGTACTTCTACGCCGCCATCGATGACTGGTGAGTAAAACTATAAAACAATTCTATGGCGCTGTTATGTAAATTCTATAACAACGAAGTTTTATAACTTCAAAGTTTTTTGTTAATATATTACCTTTTGCTAATCTAATGTTTCTATTCAACTTTATGTAAATTTGTTTTCAAATTGTGTAACTTTCTGTAATTCTGAAAGAATGTAAATAAATCATAAGGGTGCTGTACCCACAAAATGCTGTTTTCTGCTGAGAAAAGAGACTTTAAACTATTTAGGGCTAACACTTGCCTACTTTTAAGAAAATCAGGCAGTAAATAATGAGAAAAATACATAAAGACTGAACTAGGTCAGAATTATTGTACTCGTTTTCTTTATTTTCCATTTTAAATATGACAAATTATTCACAGTTTATGTTTAAATTCCGTATTGATATTTTCACAATACACATTACGCAATAGACAAGGTGATCATTCTAGTTTCCTATATTACGTCATTACTTATAACTTTAAGGGTGTTTTAAAATTTTTGTCTTTGGAATTATGTTGATATTCCTGCTTTTTGCGCCACTGGTACATCCACCTTGATGATTTTACAGAATCTAATGCTCACAATAGACAAATCACATAAAAATTTAATTTATTAATTTATTTTAGAATTGCATAAATTTATAGTCTTATCACTGACAGGTGGTAAAAGAATTAATTTCTTTAATGCTACAAATTAATTAGAGATTAGAGAAAATTATGTAAAAATTAAGATTTTGTCAGATAGTCAAGAAGAATGTATTGTGACGTCATTTAGTGCAACAACATGCTTCTACAATTCGACAGAACCTAATCTAAAGAAACGCGCATGTGATTAATTATTAATGAACAACCAACAAATTTAAAAAATATATGCAATTTTCCCATTGTATGAGATGTAATTTTGCTGTATGTTCAAATTGTGTTTTGTTTATACTGCAAAATAAGTATTAAACAAGCTTTTTCTCAGAAATGGTCAAGTTCATCGACTTTGAACAAGAGAACCTTTTTATAGGAACTTTTAATTGTTTGCTATAAATTCCTACTAAAAGTTATAATCAGTTTGCTAATCAGTAAGGGCTATTTAAACCCTTTAAATGTTTTGAAATCTTTTCTTTTTCATAACTGTAGTTTGTTGTCAATAATAAAAATCAAATTTGAAACAGATCTCAAAAAAGAAGTTACAACACAATGTTAATTTGAAAAAAAAAATGGTATTGTTGATGCTAGTAAAATTATAATACTAAGTTTTTGAAACAGTGAATTTTCATAATTTTGTTTAGCAGAATCATCAACATTTTTTGCTCAATAATTTTCCGAACGCTATATTTGCTCAATCGACGGAAATGCAGTGCAATATACCTTAAATGTGTACAAATATTTTAAACAGCCATACAGTTTACTGTGTAGAACCTATAACAGTTCCATTGTAAAAAAAATTTTGACAAAAAAGTCATAAAAAACGAATATGTCTGATTTTTTTTAATTGAAAACCTATCTCTCGAACACGACTGATTTTACTGTGATAATTGCGTCAGAACTCTTAAACATTTGAAACATATGAAATAGTAAGAAAATAATATAAACATCTTTGTAGGCGATACGTCCAAAATTTTGCATTATCTTCATAAAAATAATTATGGCCACCAGTAAACCACTTTTGTCTAAATACTGAGCTTTGCTGACAAAATATATGAACATTAACCATTTTCTGTATGCTACAAAGTTCTACATCTGCATTTAGGTTCAAACGTTCCGTCACCGCCGCCACCTCCGCCTCCTCCGCTGGCTGTGTCGGGGGCACCCTTGCCGCCGCCGCCACCTTTATTAAATGGAATTGATATACCCGCCCCGGAACCAAGTAAGGACCGATCGGCTCTGCTGGGGGCCATTTGTAACTTCAACAAATCTTCGTTGCGCAAAACCAAAGTTTCCTAAATCGCTTTTTAGCATCTATTTTATATTGTGATAAGATTCACTGTATGTAACAATAGCGTGAATTTCTGTAAGTTTCTTATTAAACGTATTTAACGCTTTGCCAAGTAGCAGCCCTTAGATTTATTTTTTTATATTGTCACTCGCAGATGCAACTGTACGAAATAAGTGAATGGTACGTTTGTTTTAAATATCTAATTTTTAATGGTAGACTGAGAGGTACCGCAGACTTTCAATGAACGAGTAGATTGGACAGGGTGATGCAGAAATATTTTATTAGCCGATTTTATTTTGCTGATTTAATGGCAGAAATTGTTGCACTAACTAGTAAATTTGTTTTAATGTTTATTTATCATATTTATATCTTTGATATTGGTATGTTATTTAAAATATATGTAAATATTCTTGGGTTTTAATGATATTTACCTACCTATGTGCCGCATAGTCAACTTGTAACCTTTATATGACTCGGACATTTATGCTAACATCCTGTATATAAAATGTATGCACATTGTGATACTTCCGCACTCGAATAGGTACAGAGTGTCATTCATTTTGAAATTTATAAGGGGCCACTATATGTAAAAATATTCCATTGTATGTATATGGGAATAAGATAAATTTCCTTTGAAAATTACAATTCTCCGTCTCTTATATCCATCATTATTTGGTTTTAATTTTTTGTAAAGTTTGTGCCTTCTTAAAGAATTGTATAAAATCTTGTGTCGTTGGTTACATATATTTTCATGATCACAACTAGTTTTGAATTTAACGAAACTGAAAATCAATAGACTCAAATTTGTCACACTGATGTAGTTGTGATTTTCGTGGAATTTTAATGTATACTTGACTGTGCCAATTTAATACTATGAAATAGTTTTAAGATGTCAGTGACGTTTTGTGAATCTGTTGTAACTAGTCAAAAAAAACTATCATATTTGATGTACAGCATAAAATTTGTAAACTAAATGTATGCCTAAATCTTATTAACCTTAATAAATAGCTATTATGTCAACTTCACATTGTACAGTTTATTACAATTATCCCTTTGCACGAAACGTACAAGTTTTAACGTGCTAATCAACAAACAGTCTACAAACTAATGTTTATCTATGCAAATTAGTTTCATTTAATGAAAATTATCCTAAGAAGGGAAGGGAAACATTTAAAAAGAAAATAATTGAATAAATTTATTACTTATACAAATAAACGAAATTATCTAGCATTACTACTTTGTTTCTCTGAATTTTTTATTCAATTGACCTGTAGTTCTTTATGTGCACAAGTACCCAAGAGGGTATTGCGAAAATTCCAGCGGCAATTATAACGGCATGAACAACTTTTTCTGCTGGCGAAATCTTAACTTGAGGGGGACCAGAGACAACGGACATTTGCCTGGATGACTGCCTTACAGCGGATTGCGCTGTTGCAGCAATTCTCGTAGCGTTGACAGCGAACATGTCTGAATTAAAATTAAACTGTATTTAAAAAATATATATTTCTTAAATATACTCACTTGCTTTTTTGCACTCGATTAGATAATCAAACCCCAATAAAATGACAAATTGTCATTGACAAGGACGGATTTATGACAACTTCTTCTTCGTCTGCTTCTTTTGCCGACCCACATCAATTTTCTGTTCTTTATCACGTGGAGGAAACATGTAGACGAGTGGCAGAGAGAGAAAGCGATAGTTTGAGTACCATCTTTTTCTCTCACTCAGGCACGTGATTAGCTAACGCAACTCTTTCCACAACGATAAGAGAGAGAGGTCGAGACTCAAACTATCGTCCCTTCTCTCTACACTACAGCGTCTACAGTCTACATCTTTTTAACACGCGATGCGCCTCCATGCGGTATATGCTCTATGAGGTTTTTAATAAAAAATGCGTAAATTAAAATGTTAAAAACATAAAAAGTCAAAAACTTTATAGTGTGGAGTGGATAGAGGCGTTCAGAAATTCTTAATTTCCTTTTTTTTTGTGATAATAAAAGATATACAGGCCACGAGAAGCGATTGATGTGGGGGTTTGACTATACCGTAAATCATAACCACATGACATTTATAGAGGAGTGAAGCTATAATATATTATACTCCGGTAATTAAAATATCCATTTTTCGTTTCTGTGACTTTTTTAACTTAACCTCAAACGGTCAAGGGCAATACAGCTTTCATAAGTAAAATTCCACGGTATTTGTCAAAATATATTACAAAATTCTCAGTGAAAAGATGGCACAAAAATTAATCAATATAAGGGACCAGTTAGTTAGTTCTCTTCATGATAATACTAAACCATGGACATCGATTTTAGCAAAAGCTGAGAGAAGGACTGGTGTGAACAGGCTTTATATATTTTTTGGTAAGTAAGTAAGATTTCTCCTTTCAATTTTATGTACATGTTATGATGTTTTAGGCTCAGCAGCTCTCATCAGCCTGTGGCTGGTATTCGGTTACTGCGCTCAGCTGGTGTGCAATACCGTCGGCTTTCTTTATCCAGCTTACGTATCAATTCACGCCATAGAGTCTAAATCAAAGGACGATGATACCAAGTGGTTAACTTATTGGGTAGTTTACGCCCTTTTTTCAATCGCTGAATATTTTGCAGATTTCATTGTACACTGGTTTCCCTTGTATTGGCTTGTGAAGGTAAATTTACACTGATCATTTCTATTCTCAAGAGTGACATCTTACTTGTTATTGTTTACCTCGTATTTCTATATAGCTTTATGGTTACATCACTAGTATAAATAAAGGTGGTATCACCAATTTGTAATTATAATAATTATTTATTAATCAATGTATGGACATGGGACCATGTCCATTATTCATGAGTATATGAAAATTCAACCTAGTATGTAATTATGTTCTGATTAACTCTGACTTCTTAGAACATAAACTTAAACTTCTGAGGTTCTACCCTTTTTTTTTAATAAATTATTTTACTGCTTTATGCTATCAGTTATTCTTTGTAAACCATGCTATGTGATGTATAAAGTTACAAAAATACTTTTTAAATAAGGCGGATGCCATTTTTACTTAGTTTTGAAAATTTAATATGTTCCAGTTTGGATTTATGGTTTGGCTCATGATTCCTACAGAATTTAATGGTTCGATATTGCTCTACCGCAAAATCGTCAAACCTTACTTTTTGAAACATCATCAGGCCATTGATAACACATTAAACAAGGTTAAAGATTCAGGTGAGTCCCTTATTGCAATTTTAAATAAATATAGAGGTTCCCGTGAACAAATAATATAAATTTTCTTATTTTTAGCTACCAAACTGCTTGAGAAAAATGAGTAATCTCGCTAGTACTAACAACGCATTGGTGTACCAAGGAATGTTTAATTTTTAATTTTCGATTAAAAGTGCACAGGTTTAACACAGGTCATTACTGAATTGTGCATGCTAGAAGAAATTTAATTTGCGATATCCTAACGTTATTATTAAGAGCTTAATAATTATTTATGTAACGCTCGATACACCGTTGTGATAATGATGAGTATAATGCTTTAAAACGAAATACAGGTTTTATAAAAACATATTTTCTTAACTTCTTTGCAGAGTAAGATTTAATAAAATATTTACCTTATAATGTATATGTGTGGATATGTGAGTTAAATAAAGGGTTGACCCAAATACAAATGTTTTATTAACAAAATGATAAAAATATGTTTATACTACAAATTATAATGTCATATTAAAGCGTTAATTACTAGCAGATTCTTTACTATCTTTTATTTCTGTTTCTTTCAATGCTCTTCTGTTTCTCCATGCTACCATGTAACTGTTTGGGTGAATAGGCAGAAATCCAGCAAGTCCTTAAATTACAACACACTGTTAATTTAGTTTTTGAATTTACATGAAAAAAAAAAATTACCTAATAATTGTTCAACAGGTTTAGATACTGTGGCCCCGTTTCCTATCCAGTACCTGATCCGCTCAAAATTTAAAGATGTCAATTTTTCGTTATACTGATTCGGTAGGGGGTCGTATGTTCCGAGTTGTTCAATTACAGGGTGGTGTTGATTTTTTCGTTTCTACAATTGGAAAATTTACGTACAAGAATCACGAATTAATTCAAAACTTTTCCTGGATTATAAAAAAAATTATTGGTTTACCTCAGTAACTACGATGTGATAAAACGGCCTATTGGTGCATCCTTGTTTACAAAATCTAATTACTTTAGCACTTCTGAAAAATGAGATGCCAGTTCCACTAGCCGGGGGAAGCATTATTCTTATAAAATCTAATTTTGAAATGTAAATCTCAAATTTACAATTTTGATTTTGTAGGTTAACCTAATTATAGATATAGGTACATCATAACATTAAGGGTTTTTTGGCGAGAAAACCGCTAACCCGGTTAACTATAGTTTGTTGCGGTTTGACGTTTTGACGAGAATGTAGTTAACCCGGTTTGGCAGAGTTTGCCTAACCATCAAACCGGACCTGTGAGTTGGTTTGGATCTTAAGTTAATATTTCTATTTATGTTTATTTATTTTCTGTTTCGTACCATCGTACCTAGCCACTACTTCATTTTTTTAGAGGTTTGGATAGGTATAAGTTGTAAATAAAAAAATTTGGTAATGGATCACTGCAAAAAATACAAAGTAATATTTAAAATTGATAATAAAAAAAATAGTAATCGAGGATCCAAATAACTAATCGTAGATATGCATTTTCTATATTGTACTGTATAAATCTTTATTAACTTCCTTTTAGACGATACATTTGCGTTGGAATAGATAATATTTGTGAACAAGGTAAACCCATTTTGATTTAATAACCATCTACACATTAAGGTTATTTCATGGATGTGCATTTCAGATTACGAATAACAACTATAGTATATAAGAAATAATCAAACAACTTGAGCTACGAGCACTATCATAGATTATAGGTTACGATTTTATTATTGATTAGATCCAAACCAAAAGAATTTTTGCGAGTTCTGTCAAATGTTAACTCAAACTCTTAACACAATCAAACTCGAGCTAACCGGGTTTGATGTGGTTTGGCTCGCCAAAAAACCCTTATTATCACAATAAAAATACCAATCAAACTGCATTATATGGTTCCAAATTTTCATGCCGCCATCTATCCCTTAGAAACTACAATAAACTGCAGGAAAAGATAGCCACCTGTAATAAACTTACAAATATAGTACAACACAATCACAATCAATGGAAGATTAATTGACCTTTTAATGAATAGATGGCGAGGCTTCCTTTCTCACTAATATGAACTGTGAGGATTAAACTTACAAAACATATTAAACCACATACCACCTAGACTGGCCGTGTCTAATTCCAATGCACGGGTACCAGTGAATGCAAAATCCGGGGTAGTGGAGTGTGGAAGGCAATCTGATCGCGGGCATCCTTAAGCAGATCCGGATTAAGTAATATTTTTATTACATATTAAATATTATATTGCATCTTATAACAAATATTCAATTTTAAGTTTGTAATTCAGAAAATAGTATATTTTAGTGTCGTATTAAATAAAACTACAAAATAATTTAAATATATTTATTATCCTCTAAATAATATTAATTTATTTAATATTTGTCTTTTCGTAGATTTTACCGAATTAAATAATTTGACTTCATGATTCATTCCTACATCGATATACTTATTTTCACATTCAGCCCTTACAAGTTCTATTAAATGATTACAATTGTTAGGCAAATTATTGATGTTCATGCAAATTTTCAAATATGTTCACATTCAGAAATTTTTTTAATACATGATAAACAATTTTATTTTTCTGTAGCCTAGGTGTCCTGCTTTCATCATTATTTAAAAATTTTATTAATTTTTATGTTTCTTAGCATATTACTACGACAACTCGATGGATACGTCAAACAACCACGATCTTTAATAAAAATTAATTGACTACGAATACTGAATCTGAAATTAGTTTTGTTTGAGATTTTTTTAATTGAAAAAAATATTTAATTAATTTTCAGCTATCTCGAAATGACGGGAATTGGCAAAATTTCATAAAAATTTAAGACTCACATAAAGTAAATAATTACTAAAAATATTTTACAGTAATTCATTCATTATTTTATAATAACAATATCACGTTAATCACTGTACACTATGTGGGCGAACAAAATTATAAAGCTAACCCTGGAAACTTGTGACGTTAACCGAAAAATGGCGTACATATTTACCTTTTATATATTCCTTTCTTTTACTTACCTAAAGAAGGAAACTTTTCGCCTCTCTTCACCTACTCGATCACTTCTATTTATACAATGTTTTACACTACACTTGCCCATGATAAAATCTAATTATCGAAATCACACTTGCACAAAAAGCGACTATCTCACCAGATGCATATGGAACCGCATTTAGGAAAGTACTTTAATTTTTCGAAAATTTTCGTGCTATTAGAAATAATAATTATTCATAATTTGACAGTCTGTCAAATCTGTGAATATGTTTACCCATAAGAGTAACTAAATTTAGTTACTCTTATGTGTTTACCTAAATGTACCTACTGTCTATAACGTACATTCCTTTGGGCCACTGCCTGGCTTAGTGTACCTACTTCGGTATTTTTCTTATTGAAAATTTTGAAATTATTATTTGTTAATAAAAATATAGATCACATAATATGTATATTTATATTTCAAATTTGACCGAGAAAAATAAAATGCAATATATATATCAAGGAAAAAAAGTACAATCACACTCTGCCTCCTGTGAGGATTGAACTCACGACCCCTGGTTTACAAGACCAGTGCTCTGCCACTGAGCTAAAGAGGCTTATATTGAAGTTGTTTCTAATACTTGTTACCAAGTAATACTACCCTTTCTTAAAGTGATAATACAATTAAATTTTTATTTTTATTCAGTAACTGCATTGTATCGTCTACAACTTATTATTTTTTAATCCAAAGTAAATGTAAAAATATACCACCAATTGTATCGAAAAAATATATCTATACGTATATTAAAATTATACTTAGAAACAACTTTGAAAATATGTATAAATTATTTCAAAGTTAATCTTATATTCTCACTATGATTGTTAAAATTAAAAAAAGTCCTCCCCGGCGGGGAATCGAACCCCGGTCTCCCGCGTGACAGGCGGGGATACTTACCACTATACTACCGAGGACTTATGACAAAGTTTTATAATTCAGTTATAGTTTATTTCAAGTAAATTGTGAGTATGTTTTTAACAATTGTATCTATTTTTTATATCTAAATTTATTTTTGCTACATTTATACATTCGAATGATATTAATTTTTTAATCTAAAAAGGAAACAGCTAATTCTGTACTACACTGTAGTAAATATGAGTACCACTCACCACTGTAGAATCTGTGGTGCATTTTCTGTTTTGGGGAAGTAAACTGGTAAACATCAATCTAACCTAAATTCAATGATTGCAGAAAACGGAACAATAGTTTTTATTTAATGATCAAAAAATTATGCTCTGAAAACATCTTTAATTAAAATTATGAGTTATGAACAGCAGTACACGTTTTTTTATATTGTCCAAATTTATCTTGCATAGGACATATTCTGATTCTGTAAAAGCAACAAAAATTGCAGGTAACCCTAAAAGACCATCTCATAAGAGAGTTATCAACAGGTTTTTCCTTGAGAATGAACATTTAACGGCTTTAAAAGAACACATTCCTGAACAGCACCTTACTCTTCGAAGAGCAGGGTTACCAGAAAACTTGTATCTGATATGTCCAAAAGTAGCAAAGATTATTGCATCTCACGTAAAAGCAGCCACTGAATCGAATGGAAACAATCAAGTTATAGCAGAGACAAACGCAGGCTTGGGATTGATATCCATGGAATTATTAGAAAATGGAGTGACACCAGTTAGAGTATATGAAACGTGTCCTGATTTTAGGAAGGAATTAAAGGTAAGAGAGGCATGATTAGTCCGAATTAAATCAATAAACTGAATTTAAGGATTTCGAACATGTGTATTCTGGCCAAGTGGAGGTATTTACTAAGGACATATTCCATTTGTACTGGTACTCGTACATGGACAGACAAGATCACAGAAAAAGAGTAGATATGCTGCTTAAGGATGTGCCAAAAAGAAGTTGGTCTGATGGTAAGAAAGAAGCTTTTTTAATTTACAGGAGTAAGACTGATAAGTAACATTTATTAATTACGTGATAACAGATCCTGTAATGACGATAGTAGGAGCTATGCCAAAATTTTCCTTTTTGAAATACTTGATAAAGTGTCTGTGTCTTCAAAGTGAGATCGTGACATATGGACGGATCCAAATCATCGCCATAATGAGGCCTAGTCATTTCGCTGTAAGATTTCCTCTTTACTTATTCCTTGTAAAGACATTGTGTTTGCAGATTTTAAACTCTACTCCTCAAGACAATTTACTTGCTTACCAGTATTGGACAATGTTGTCCAACTTATTTTTCGAATATGAACTGTTGGAGAAAATACCCAGAAATGTTTATTTGCCATGGGAATCCCCTCAATCTGTGACTTCACTGAAGCGTTACGTAAGTTATTTTAAGTTAACAAACTCGATAGTCTTTTCAATTAACATATTTTTCAGCCAATGAACTTAGATCCCGACAAATTGTATTTGGTCAAATTGAATTTGAAAAACTTACCTGTGGCCGTAGAGCACCTGTTGCCACTGTTATATTTTGGAAAGCATTTTTTTGGCAGGGGATCCAAACGAATTATACCAACCATTGAGTAAGTCACACTAAAATGCATTTTATTGACATACTTTTTTTTAACTAAAAATATTTCTCCTTAATACGGGTTTATTACAGGTGATCGAAATGTGTGGCAAATGTGTGTGAAAGTATATGTTTATATGTTTTTTTTAATGTCGGATTTATCAAAATTAAACTAATACCTTTGCTTACTAGTCTAGAGACCAAAATGTTGCAAATATGCCCTGTTTATAAAAAAAATATAGAATGACTTAACAAACTAACAGATTTTAAAAGTATAACTTCTCTAAAATTTTTGAAATGATTTTAGTCGATTTTTATTTTCATATTGAAAATTCACATTGAAAAGTCTTACTTCACTAATACAAACCAGTTTATATAGTATTGTGGCTGCCAATCAGATAAATCTACAGTGGTTCCCCAAGGGTCAGTCTTGGGGCCACTTTTATTTCTATTATAATTTTATTTAAATGAATGACTTGATGTCAATTATTTACTCTATTAGGACTATGTATGTTTCTCAAAGTGTTCATCTGCACCTCATATATAAGTGGAAGAACAGTGTGTTGTCCACTGGACGACACAGCTGAACTTCGCCCTTTCATATATTTGTATTTTAGTACATGTGTCTGTTTTTTATGCTATATATGAATAAAGAATATTATTATTATTATTATTATTATTATTATATTCATATTTTGATTACTATTTCATCCTGTAGTATTAAGTGTTTCCACTTAAGTTAAGCGGTTTTTTTTAACTTTTTTAATTTTAGGTATCACTTTTCTTTCACCTTATCTTGTAATTGCAATTTTGTTCCAACGTACATTTCTAAATAAATAAATAAAAATATCTTATTTTCTACTTCAATTAAACGGAGTAGCTCCCTCAATATTCATTTTCGGAAAGACGTTTATATAAAAAGGTACCCTTACTTTCTGATGTATGGTTCCTCCAGCCTATATAATGGAATTATTTTACCTATATAGGAAATGGATCCCTGGATGTGGTTTGAATATACTGCTGCCAAAATTGGAACATCCTGATTATTTTGACGATATAAGTATATTTACACAATTTAGAGAATTGACGCCATCCCAATTATTGGCTGTGTTTAAGTGAGTGAAACAGAATATTTATAATTTATTATTTAAAATACGTTGTTCACTCTATAAAATGTCCCAAATGATATCATTTAAAATATTTAATGCCGTTACCTGAATTATTAGCAGTAAGTATTTTATTTTAGGGAACTGGTAAACTATCCTTCTTACCCCAGTAGTTCGTTCAAAACTATGGTTGAAAATAATGTGTTAAAAAGTGAAACAGTAGAAACTGATTTGGCAGAATCCCCGTCACAGACAAACGTAGAAGATCTTGAACAGAAGCTTGGTATTGACTAGCCTGTCCTTGATTATGAAACTTCAATAGTAAAATGTACGATGTGTAATATTGAGGATTAAAAGGAATATACGTGGAGTGTGTTATAGTAAAAGATGATGAATATAAGAAATAAATCATATGAATATATTGATTAAATTTTTAGCTCATTTTTTTAAATAACCCTCTCCAAAGTGTTACAACTAGCACTTCAAGCCTTTACAGGAAAAAAAACAAAAATAACTAGTAAAATTTACCATTTAATGGTGGTTTCATCGAAATATTTATTAAATTTCTTCCATTCATACCTCGTCTTTGGATCCTTTTTACTATTTGCAGGGTTCAAATTGGGCATCAACCCTAAAAATTAGTGTAAATTTCTCATACATACAAAACCTTACGTAAATTACCAGCTTTCTGTGCCATTGTTACCAAAGATGACATGCGTTTTTGTTGTTTTTTACATAAACCAGTTATTCGTCTAGGTAGCATGCATCCATCAGATCGTACGAACTGACTAACAATGCGAATATCTGTATGCTTGACATCCAAATTAGACGCACACAGAGGACAAGCATGTGGATGACTAGTTTTTAACAAGTAGGGTTCTCTCGCAGATGGTTTGATTTCCCCAGAAATTATTAGTTCTTTGCCATTTTGGGACTCCTTAACTGAAAGAAAATTTATTTAAAATGTAGAAGATTCAACTTAATATACACTTACTTTCCTTAATTTGCAGCTTTGAAGACAAAAATAAATTTCTTGTGTTTAATGAAACATTTTTATTTAATAAATTTTTCGTACAAAGTGCCAAAAAAGACATTATTTTGCTATAACACAAATGTTAGGTTAATTTCTTCTTCTTCTTTGTTATTTGACCTTGTGGACATTTGGCCAGAGTGTAGGTTTATAGTACCATTGCATTCTTCTTCATGTCTCTAGACTTTGACATTAGCTATTAGCCATATATGTAATAATAGTATTATATATATGCTATTAGCCAACTATGTAATAGGCGCAGACTATTGCCCTAACCTTTCTAAACTAATTATTTTATGTGTGGGGTACAAAATACGTAACAATATTCTGAACTATATAAACAACCCACAACAAAATAGGTCTAATAAGTATTTCATTGGTAATTTGTTTTCTGCAGCTGAATTTGAATAAATAAAAAATTAACTTATTATTTTATTAAAAATAAATATAAGGTTAATCTTATAATACGTAAAATTATTTATGTACATTTGTAAGTAACAAAACAAAACCATCGAGACATGAACTATTTATTGCCTTCAGAGACCAAACCGAGCTGGAGTCCTTCTGGGAGTGGCTCCCGCGCTAATGATTTCCTGCCCTTTATTCAAGGCAGCTACTCTTTTCTCTGCCGCTTCCTTCCTGGCTTTCATCTCCTCCTGAGCAACTTGCATCTGATTTTCCATCTCCAGAAGGTGTTCGGCAGCTTGTTTTTTCTTTGCTCGTCCAGATTTACCGGTTTCCTTGAGGGAGAAGAACATGGGACCTAGTTCCGCTAACCAATGACCATCTACCGATGTGACACACTGCATATATTCGCGAGCCGTCATCACCAATTCGTGGTACACCACGTAGTCCGGAGTGTTGCCTAGTCCAAAAAGGGCCGACGTTGGGTGCAAATGACACGGCATACCCGTCCGGCAGTTTACGTACTCGCCAATACCTGTCAAATTAACAAGTTATTAATGTTACTCAAAAGAAACAGAGCTCAAGAAAAAAAATAAAAAATAAATTAAATCAAAAAATATATAGTTTGGAAAAGTGTAAGAAATGTGAACCGAGGATAAAAAAGCAAAAAATAATGGTAACAAAATATTAAAAAATAAGAACAAAAGTAATAAAATATGAAGTGTTTCTACCTTTCAGCCTGGCGGCTTGGTGAAAATACGCAGAACATATACACTTCCTTACTATATCCCAGTCAGCCCCACACGACTTTATTTCCAATTTCTGCTGCACCAAGATATCCTTTAGCTGTTGCCTCACCTCCCGGACCTTCCGCATGGCTTTTATGTGGATAAAGTGCTCGTTACACCAGTGAGACGAATAGTTATTCTGCTTCCACTGGTTGTAAACATTGAGGAAAGTTAAATGATCACTTTCCGGCACCTGGAACTTCTCCCTCACCCCATCCGCTTCCTCTTCCCTGCCTTTTGGTCGGTAGAATATCGACGGGACGGATAGCATCGAGACAATAATTAGAATCTCCGCGGTGCAACCCATCTGCGTGGACACGATCAACATCTGGCATTGTGGGGGATCCAACGGAAATTCGGCCATTTGTCTACCTAATAAAACCGAGACAGCATTTCGATATATTTCGAATAAACCGACGTGTATACTAACCTAACTTTGTTAAAACTCCAGTGTGGTCCAAAGCCCCTAGTATCCAGAGCTGGTACAAGGAATTCAGGATGTTGTCTTGGGGTGGTGGATCCATGAAATGAAACTGCAAGAGGTCCTGGACTCCTAGAGATTTCAAAAGAAGAACCGTGTTGGCTAGATTAGTTCTTTGGATCTCTGGGACGGTCGTTACCAACAATTCATCCTTATACTGTCGTTCCGTGTATAACCTGAAAGCCTGGCCGGGTCCAGTACGACCCGCTCTACCCGATCTCTGATTCGCGTTGGCCTGACTTATGGGATAGATCTGCAAAAATATCAATGTTTTTTATCACCGAAAAACCCTAACACTGTGATCTTACCTGAAGCGCATCCATACCGATCCTTGGGTTGTACACCTTTAACTTGCAATAACCAGAATCAATAACGAAAATAATCCCGTCGACAGTAAGAGAAGTTTCCGCTATATTTGTCGCGACCACACACTTCCTGATGCCTTCAGGTGACCTCTGGAAGATCTTTGCCTGCAAATCGGAAGGCAGCTGAGAATATATCGGCAATATAGACAACTCCGGTGCGTTATCGATTTCAGTGAGGCGCTCCGCCAAAACTTCGCACGTTACTTCGATATCCTCCTGACCGGGCATGAAAATGAGAATGTCACCTGACGGAGGTTGGAGGTGGATCTGCAGAGCTTGCTTGACAGCCGCGTCGACGTAATCCTCAACCGGATTCTTACTGAACAAGATCTCGACTGGAAACGTACGTCCAGGTATGTTGAATGTTGGTACATTTCCGAAAAACATGGAGAATTTGCTAGAATCCATAGTGGCGGAGGTTACTATTAGTTTCAAGTCGTGACGCCTCGCTACGATTTCTCGTAGCAGGCCGAAAAGTACGTCGGTGCTTAAGGAACGTTCGTGAGCTTCGTCCATTATTATAGCACTGTAGTGGTCTAAGTCGGGTTCGCGGAGGCTTTCCCTGAGTAAAATACCATCCGTCATGTATTTTATTACAGTATTCTCCGAAGTACAGTCTTCGAAACGAATGGCGTATCCGACTTCATCACCTAAAACGAAAAGTGCATCTTTAAATACTAGTAATTTTTGTAATATAACAAACTGCATAAAACTTTTTAAAGGAAATTATTCTTCTCTACTTCTAATTATTAGATCAAAAGAAGCTAACCTAGTTGCGTCCCCATCTCATCACTAACTCGTTTGGCCACTGACATAGCCGCAACCCTCCTGGGCTGCGTGCACCCTATCATGCCGTACTTGCTGTAACCGTCCTCGTGCAAGTATTGAGTGAGTTGAGTGGTTTTTCCACTTCCCGTCTCGCCAACTATGATCACAACGGAATTTTCTCGAATTATGTTGAGGAGTTCTTGACGCACAGCAAACGCTGGTAAATACTGCCTCTGTTCTAATATCGACTTCTTCCTTGCAAAATCGCTAGAGGCTTGCCCTGTGAAATAAAATAAATCAAGAAAAATTACAAAAAAACTCGAAAAGTACTTACCAGTGTCTTTCATATGTTCTGCGAACTTATGATCGGCTCTATAATCCGTGGTATCGTCTTCTTTGTTAAACTTCTTGTCTTCCTCGTCTTCTTTTTTCTTGATTCCCATTATATTACCGATCTTTGTCCCGCTCAGTTCCCAATGCTTCTTTTGAGCCTTCCTCCTCTCCTTCTGCTCCCTGTACACTCTAACCAAATGTGACCCTTTCCTTGCTACAATTGCCATGTCCGAGGTAGGATCGCGCACGGGTATAACAGGTTCCGGTTGTTTGGTGAACACTATTCTCCCATCCAGGAAGGGCGGGACAATGTTGTGGACTAACAAGTGGACCCTGTCGATAGATTCTTCGTCAAAGTCCTCGTTGATGTCAACGGAATGGACGACGCCTGACATATGAAGTCAAATATTAAATTTAAACATGTTAAACAATAAAATTCTAGTAATGTAATTAATAATATTTCAAAAAGTGAAAAGCATATTTTTGGAGAAAATCTTTGGATACAGGAATAACTGCAACTTGCTATTAATTATTTGTTACGACATAAATTGTGTATTTAAGGCAAGTTCTCTTCAAATTTTATTGGTTTTTATCGCATCAACAGAGAACTTGACTGCCACTGTACATGTTTGAAAATCTCGACGATTTTAAGCCAAACAAAAATATGAATAAAACATGCTTTCTACCTGGATTTATAAATTATTTTAATCGTCTCACCTGATGTCAACATCCTATTTCGTTCCCATAATTCATTATCCTTATTGATTTGCCTCTGTTGCGCAGACAGCCTTTTTTTCTTGCGTTGTTCAAGCTGTTCCTCCTTCTTTTTCGTATACTCTTCGCTGACGCTTGAAAAAGGATTGTGCTCATCATCGTAACCCTCGTCCATATTATACCACTCCCTGTCCAGCCTCTTCTGTTCTTCCTCCCAGTTCTCTCTGTCCACTGTGGCTTCCCATTTCAATGATTCATCTTTACCTAAGCCCGGCGTAGCACCAGTTTTCTTTCGATCTTTCATCCAAGCATTATATCTATGAGCGGGAGTCGGACGAGGTGTGTCATCCTCTATTTTGTATTTGCCTCTGTTGCTAGTTTTGTGATCATCTCTGTGTGATCGTTCTGATTTATCAAATGATTTAGTACTTCTCTCAGACCAATCACCACTTTTTGATTTATAAACGGTCGGTGTTGGAAAGTCCCAAGTAGATTTCTTTGACCCTGTTGGTTCATCATCTTCATCCCACGAGCTCTTTGATGTACCATCTTTCAATTTAATATTAGGTGTTCTAGGTTCATCCTTAAATCTTGGGGTTTTGTCTTGTCTCTCACTAGTTCTTTCACTGCTTTTATAGCGTTCTCTTTTACGATTTCGTTCATGTTCTCTTTGTCTTTCCTTTCGTCTCTCGCGATAATACTCTTTGTCTTTATTGCCACTACTCTCAGCTTCTTTCTTTGTTTTAGTTGAAGCATATACACCTTTTTCTTTACGTTTATTTGAATTCAGCCTTTCAATTAAACGTTCTCTTGCCTCTTTACTGAGACCTCCTGTATACGTAGGAGTTTCTTCTTGGGGAGATCTAAATTTACGATTATCCCTTTCTTGGTGCTGTGTAATGGACACATCGCTTTCTTCACTGTTTTCATCTTCCTCCAAATTAAAAGACATTTTGCGGGCAGCTTCTGCTTTCTCTTTGCGTTTTTGAGCAGCCAATTTATCCAATCCAAGTAACGAATGTTGTGGTATTTTAAAAATGGCTGGTTTTTTCTTGACTATAAGACCGCCTTTTTCGTTTGTACTACCTTCTAGTCGATGAACGTTTTCTTCTGAACCCATTTTAGCACAAATTTATTAAAACGTTAAAAAATCGTTTATTAGTTCATTAACGTAAATAATGTTTATGTCATAGATTTGGATTTGACGGGGAGGGAGGAGAGATAGACATAACCACAATTTTAATTTGACGTGACACATGACCCATGGACTAAAAACAAGAGAAAATAAGGACAAATATTCTCAAACCTTTTTTTATATATCCGGTATATACAGTTTTAAATTTCGATATGAATTTTCACATATCATTTCTTATTTTATTTTTAGTTACTCTGCGTTTTAATCTTCCTAAATCACAAATAATTCGACATCGACTAATTAACATTAAAAATAATTAAAAATTCTGTCCAGGCGCAAGCTTAAAGCATACTAGTGGAGGCACCGCGCAGTAGTGATGGGAGATTTCGAGTGAAAAATCGAGTGGTACTCGATTATTGAGATCACTCGAGATATCTCGAGATGTTTACTCCCACCACTCGAGTGATTATTACCCTACGGTTGCACCCCAAAATGTTAGTGCATACTGCAAATAGTCACTGACTGCGTAACCTTTTTTCAGAATAAAACGAAAAAGTGGTTAGGTTTTGATGTGCGTGAGCTTTTTTTTTTTTTTTTAGCTACGCTTATAAGTAATATATGACTAATATATGCATATTTGTGCGCCGCTGGGATGAAAATGACCAATATCTCGTATCTCGAGTGATCACTCGATTATTAGAAGTACTCGATTACCGATAACTCGATTATCAAAATTGGTCGATTATGCCCATCACTACCGCGCACCGTCCCAGTGGTCGAAGTGTAGCGGAGGTTAGAGAGAGAGATATAGTAGTGTATATACTATCTTTCTCTAGCAACATGCTATCGCGTGCTGCTAGAGAGAGATAGCAAATACTATATTATATCTCTGTCTCTCTAAACCTCCGCTACACTTTCGGCCACCGAAATGTTGCCTCCAGTAGTATATGCTCAAAGGGCAAAAATTAACACGTGATCTTGATATACCATTCTCTAACAATAACAAGAACAAAGTTAGTAATCACAGCATCAGGAATTATTCGTAAAATTAATAGCTAATTTACATACCGCTGAGCTAACTCAAATATAAAACTCAGTTAACGCAAAGCTAAAAAAAAATTATTATTGATTTCTATATTCCCTTAGGTCTTTGGTCCGTTTCCTATCCTAACTTCACAATGACTTTTTATCTTATCGCCATATTTGATAAGTGATGTTAGTTGTGTATTCGTACTTTCATGTGGACCAAATTTACACTATAAAATCTTTTTGAGCGTAGAATAAACAAAACAGATGGTTGGAAAAGTCAAATGTTGAGGTTAACTTAAATACACCATGTTACATTAATTTATTTCAGAATAACATGAATGAAAACAAAGAAACCGTCATTATGGAATTGCAGGAAAACGAGCTCACTGAAATGATTAGCATCAACGTAATTTGTCGATTATGTGCAAACCAGAATGATAAACTAATAGGAATTTACAGTGAGGATGGCATAAATAACGATTTAGCTAACAAAATGAACATGTATCTACCGATCAAAGTAAATGAGACTGATGATTTACCTCTACAGTGCTGTTGGCAGTGTGCCTCAACCGTGTTAGCTTGGCACGATTTAGTTATAACAAGTGTGGAGGCTGATCGAAGATTGCGGAGTTATCAGTTTGTTGCAGAAAAACAGTTACACAACGTGCAAGTAAATTTCCAAGCTGAAGAAAGCTGCCATTCTTCAGAGAAACAAAACGAGTAAGTTTAATTTCTCATTGTTTACAAAATCTTTATACTAAATTTTGTATTAAACATGGGAATTCTGCCGGTTGTGGCTGCTTTAAAATAGTAAGCTTTAAATACTTAACATTTGTTTTTAAAGTAGTATGTTGTGTGAGCATTTTCAAATATTACAACTATTGATTTATATATGTATATATTTTTTAAGCTTTGGTAGAAGGCATTCATACTGTAATTTCAATTTTCAACTTATTAAGTAGCTAGAATTAACACAGTTTTTGTTCACAGGGTTGAACCAGATCATGCCAGCCTGAATGCCTTCTGCCAAGCAGATAATGCTCAAAATGTCATGGAAGAAATCAAAGATTCAAAACGGCCCATCGAATCAGATTTTGTGACATCCAGTAACGATAATCTAAGTGACTTTGCCAACATTGAACCCCAGTATTTGCAATTAAATAATGATCTCTATGATATAAAAATGGAAGACAAGAACTTGGAGACAAAAGAGAATATGGAATTGCCTCAGATATGTCACGGGGCCGACGATTCATTAAGTGATAACAATGAAAAAGATTCTCCTGAGGAGAATCAGACGATGTATAATTTTGGCTGCCAGTACTGCCCGATGATGTTTTTAACAGAAGAAGATATTATTAGTCACATAACGGAAACGCACCCTGACTCCGATTTTAAAGTGGACGCTCTCAGTCAAGAAGCCCTGCAAAGTCTGAAAAAGAAAAGGAGAAAAAATAATAAAATCGATCAAGACTTGGTAAACTCGGCTAAAGTTGTAGTCGACGGAAGGATCTACTACAATTGCAAGGAATGCGGGAAGAGCCTCCATTCACCATACACTTACGTTTGGCACATGCGTATACACACCGGAGAGAGGCCCTACGTCTGCGACTTGTGCGGGAAACAGTTCAGGGTATCCCAGGGCTTGGTTAGACACCTTAAAGAGACGCACGCACGTATAAAAAATTTCGCCTGTGACTTGTGCGGAAGGATGTTCGCCACCCGTCGCAACGTGGAAGAACATCGGAGGATACACACAAACGAACGTCCCTACGTGTGTGATTTGTGCGGAAAGTCCTTCAAACAAAAAGCTTCTCTATTCGTACATAACCGATCTCACACGGATACGTTTCCGTTTAAGTGCACGTATTGCACTCAGGCGTTTCGTACAAAACCACCTTTGCTAATTCACGTCACAAAACATACCGGGGAAAAGCCATACCCTTGCGACGTCTGCGGCCGCTGTTTTAGGATAAAATATGAGTTAAAACGACACAGACTGATCCACTCCGATGAGAAGCCTTTTCTGTGCACAACTTGCGGGTTGAGTTTTAGGCAGAAAAGATATTTGCGGAACCACAACAAGTTGAACCATACCGTGCAGTAATTAAAGTATTATGTATTTATTAGTTAATTTGATAATGTACACGTACTTTATTTATAGTAAAAATTTAAATTTCCAAACGTCTCGATTTACTTTTGACTGATATAATTCAATTTTTTATAAGGTAAGGGTATAGACACCACACTATCAATCTTTCAAATTTCATATTAGCATCTGAAGAGTAAATTTTTCAGATTCCAGGAACAGCAAGAGAAAGGAAAAGGAGAATACTTATTCTACGACAACATATCGGAAGGCGAGAACAGCAGTTTCGGAAATACGCTGATTGTAGAGAAGCTCGAAGGCCAAGAACAACTTTCTAAGTTGACGATTGCTTCAAAGGAATCCAGAGAGAACACTTCAACCTGTGACCTGTGCTGCAAGCTATTTGACACAAAGTTGTTGCTGAATAAACACATGAGGAATATCCACAACATAAAATTACAAAAGTGCAGGAGGAAAAAGAGCGAGATTGACGCAACCTTCGCATGCCCCGTGTGTGAGAAATGTTACACGAGGAAATTCGACATGCAGAAACACATCAGAAATAAACACCCCAACCAGAAAAATGGAATAACTCCTTCCAACCGTGCCAAAAACATGGATTTACTAGAAAGATGTAAAGTGTTTAGTATGGAAGGGAGTTGTTACAAATGCGACATCTGCGGCCATTTATTTAGAAAATCCCATAACTTAATCCGGCACAGAAACATACATAAAAACGAGAGATCGTTCTGCTGCCACATTTGCGGAAAAAAATTTATAGCCTCGGGTGCGCTGGCTCGCCACATCAACCAACACCATTACGGTATAAAAAATTTCGGTTGCACCATCTGCGGAAGGAAATTTAGCGCGAAAACAGCGAGGGACGAGCATATGAACATCCACACCAACGTTAGACCTTTTGTGTGCGATACCTGCGGCAAGTCTTTCAAACAGAACTCTTCCTTGCACATACACAAGATGTTCCACACAAACATTTTTCCTTTCTCGTGCAACGTGTGCGGTAAGAAGTTCAGGCGGAAGAGGGACCTGAAGGTTCATCACTGGACGCATACAGGGGAAAAACCTCATCAGTGTAAGCAGTGCAGCATGGCTTTTAGGCTGGGACAGGACTTGAGGCGGCACATGAAAATTCACGCCGACTATTTCTGTGACGTTTGCGGTCTTAAGTTCCAGCAGGAGAGGTTCTTGAAGAACCATTTGAAGATCCACGGGAGGTAAATATGAGTTTAAATACGGATGATACGAGACTAAAGGATTTAATTTTCTCAGAATGTTGCGATTCGCGGTTATAAATTTTGTAATATTTTAAATAAATATCCATTTGAAATTCTGTGAATTGTTATAAATTTTCTTACGAACAAAAATTTGGTTTACAGCTTAATTGAAGGTATTTTTATAATTTCTTTTAATTTTTAAATTTAGAATTTTACTTAAAGGCATGAAAATCTTAAAAATGGTGATCAAAATTTAAAAAGTAGGCCCACATACACTACTGAAAAAAATTAAAGGAACAAAATATTTCATAAATTTTTTAATGATTTTTTGAAAGGCTGTATAAGTCTCAGTGAAAAATGGTCATCTCGAGATAAACAAAAACATTTTGATGCTTTAAGTCTTTAGTTTCAAGATCTTTTGACAAGCAATTTTTTTTTAGCTATGATTATCGAGGAATCAAAATATTTTGAGAAAAAAATTTTCAAATTTGATTTCACGGACTCAGAATATTTTTTTCAAACTCAATAAATATAGAGGTCAGTTAGCTTGTTTAATAAGCTTCAATTTACTATTTGAATGGTGACTTTGGTGATCGAGATATTGATAGTTGAATGAAAAATGACACTATTGTCTTTAATCATCGATATCTCGGCAATAAATTATTGCACAGTAAATCCAAGGGCAGTTTTGAAAACCTGGATAAATTTTCTACTAGGACCCGTCATGGTTTTTGAAAAAAACATTTTTTTTCATCCATGACATTAACTTGAAAAAAGTGCAAAAAAAATAATTTTTACGGTTTTTTAGATAATGTACTGCTAATTTACAAATATCGATGAAAAGACTAATGTTGAGAGAAATGTTTACAGCTCGATGTACCCATAATAAGCCTGTAGTCAATTCATCCAACCGTTTTTCTGTTCCAAATGATCAGTTTTGGAAAGAATTAAAGGAACACGTTTATTAGTCTTAACCATTATTTAATCATGATCAAAATGAAAATCAAGAATTTTTCTCAACTTTTCCCACAATTTTACTTTAGATATTGTTTAAATTAAAAAAAAAAAATCAAAAGTTTCATACATTTTTTGATCTTTTTTTCTTATGAAAAAGTTTCTGGACATTTGTGAAAACAATTCTAGTCCCTTCTAACAATTCACATGGCGAGCCTGAATAAAATTTTTTTTAATAAACTTGTGATGTTACTTTTACAAATTCCACCCAAATCCTAAGATGCCCATAATTTCCTGGGCACTGTTTTTTAGCAGGTATTTTTAAATTTAGCTGGTGCTCCCTGATATGCTGAGAACTGAAGTTTCAATTAAAATTCCTATCGTACCGTCGTTGCTGAGGAGTAAAAACATAATTAAAAAAAAAAGATGTGAAGCCAAAATTGACAGTAAAGCCTATTTTTCTTAAAGAAAAACGACAATATTTTTTGAGATAAACTCTATTAGACATTTATTTAAAAGAAAATATATTAAAATTATTCATTCGGTTTATCAATCTGGAATGCTAATAAAGATTGTCAATTATTAAATTTACTTGTACAAACCAGAAACGTATAACTATAACACAATAAGATGGCTACTTAAACAAGTAACGGGACACGTTAAACAGCTAATGAAGTTATTTCCTATGACTTTAACACAAAAATCGGCATGAAAGTTTTCAAACATTACTGCTGTAGAATTTTATAAATTTTTTGGTATTTTAAAATTATAAAACAACATTTATACAGAGTACAATCTTGAGCTTAAAATATGATCATTGTATCTCAAAAGATTAATTAAATTCGAGATGGCAACACTGCCAACACGAACATTTGTTAAATTCATTTAAAGCCCAATTGATTTCAAAGAAAAAATATCTCGATTTTATTCATAAAATGGGTAATTTTTAAGTTATATATTACTTTTTTTCATCTAAAACAGATGAATAAAAATAAAATTACTTTAAAACTGTCCATTTCTCAAAAAAAAAATCTATAGCAATTTTTTGTTACAATTTCAAATAAAATGTAATTTAATTTTAAATTTTCTAATGGGTAGTAAAAAGCAAATTTTTATATACTGAATTTACCAAACTTTTAACGATCATGTATTTGTAGTAAAAAAATTCCTCTGTCAAAGAGACCTTTTTTCTTTTAAATACCATTCCGAATTAAATGAACTTATGTCACCCCCCTAAGTTTCATCAATCTACATCAAACGTCAGGGGAGATGTTTACATATTTATGTTTTTTAATAACTTGCAAAGCAACTCTGGACATGAGGCAAGTTTTCATGATTCGATTTTAGCTGATCAAATGAATTTGAATGAAAATAGCTCTGAAAACACGTATTTCTACTTTTGTTGGTGATTCTACTGAAGTTTGACCCAATCAAATTTTATCGTTCGACTAAAGCATTGCTTTTAATACGAATTGAAAAATTTTTGAAGCTTGTGAACATTCGTCAGTCAACTAGAATCACCCTGGTGCTTATTGCAGTTTACTCGTTATTTATAAGGTGACAAATGACCAAAATAAAAAATTGTTATTTTTAAACTTATACATTGATCTCTCCTTAATATCCAATTCCTGACCGAACAATGGCATTTTTCAAACTGTTTTTCCCACCTCAACAATTTTTGTCTGTTCTTCAACCGATAAACCAGAAATTACCCTTATACGCCCATGAAGAGCTGCAATCGACTTCGTTTTATTTCTAACTAACAGTTCAATGTTCTTTTCACGTGTGAACAAAAAGTTTATTCTTTTAGTTGCTCAACAAAAATCGGTCAACTAATATCGAACCGTGAGAGACCGCCGTAAGATGTATTTATCATTTATCAAACTACCATTTGTACTTCTTGTAGCTACACTCTGTACAAACAGACCATATGAACAAATAACTGAAATAGGTGTTTTACTGGAAATACTTTGCGAGTTTTGCCCCATTCACAAGCAAAAAGCCCGGAATTCCTTGATTATAATTGTGTACCCTTTTAAAACGGTTGCAGAAAAATACATATTCCCTAATGCAACATAATAAATACGTTCTAATCTCTAATCCGGTACTATACAAGAAGCAAATTACGCTTTCTCAATTTATACCTATAATATGATATATAGTTTGATGAATTATGAGCGAAATGTGGATAATAGCGCATATAAGTATGTAAGGATATCTAAACACACTGTGAACTAATCACTCTGCAGTAGCAGTTGATTGGGTGTTACTGGATTCGCGTCCCAGGCTGCTACCAGGTGAATCCGCATTCTCGTTTATCAATCTCTGTCGTTCCCTGTACATCGACACCCTGATATTCTCCAGTTGGTGGTACCTGCAAAGTTTTAAGAGAGCGCAGACCGATAATCCTACCCAAGTCGTGAAAGAACCCCAAACACCAAACTGCGCTGTTCCCAATTGGATGTAGAAATGCTTAGTGTTTATTTCATCAGCTCGATCAATGTCTTGGCCAGCGGCAAGCTCACACCTTAGACAAAAAAGTAAATAAATAAAACACAATGTCAAGAAACACAAAATAAACAAATATGCATCATACTTACGAGGGAAATCTTTCAGTCATATTCTGGCACCATGCCATGAAACCAAGCGTTATCATCAGTGCTGCTAGAATGATCATTCCACATAATAATATCCCAGACAATACATCTATGAAAGCAGACAGGAAGCTGCTATCTGTTCCTTTGTACAAGAAAACGGATAATCTAAAATAAGATTATTAAAACTTGATAACAAAGTATTTTTAGCTTTACCTGTAGATCTGAATTATAGACACGAGGCATAACGCAACCCCTACAAATATTGTATAATTACAGTAGCACTGCGATGCCCAGTTAACCTTTAGTTGTCCATCTGCTTCTAGCCATTCTCCCGTGGAGAATAATAAGCAGTGCCCCCTAAAAAATTTGAATATTGTTAAGAAAAGTAAAATGCTTAAATATTATTTCCCAGATATATTACCATGATACTGAATTCAATAAAAAATATCTAGTATCAAATATATAAAATACATTTAGTTTTTGCACTATCAAATATAAAATCTAAAGCACTTACTTAAAATCATCTTGATGTAAACTCATAGGAACAACGATGCATAGTGATAAAATAAAGGCTATGACATAGCCAGCTATCTGGCTAAGTAATAATATATTACTTAGAGCCATTATTTTTAATTTATGTATTCAAAAATATATTCACTGACTTGACATTCTTTAAAAATGACGTTTCCAGCAATAACAAATTGATAACAAAAGTATAAAAATCGAACTACAAACCACGGAACAATGACGATTATGTTGGTCAAGAGGTACAAAACGGAAGAATAAGAAGAATAATAACAATATAACCTCCAATTTGAATTTGTTTTAGCGCGCAATTTGGTTAAGGTAAAGATTTCTCTTGTACAAAAACTTGAATAATTAAGAAAGAACCATGCTTTGGGCCGATAAATATCGACCAAAAGAATTATCGTTATTAGATTATCATAAGGACCAAGCGGCGGATCTTAAGAACTTGACGAAAGATGGAGATTTCCCTCATCTTCTCATATACGGTCCCATGGGAGCAGGAAAGAAAACGAGAACTATGTGCTTATTGAGGGAACTATACGGCCCAGGCGTTGAAAGGTTGAAGATGGAAAATATGAATTTTACTACACCTTCAAATAAAAAACTCGAGATTATGACCGTCAGCAGTAATTACCATATAGAAGTTAATCCAAGCGATGTAGGAATTTATGATAGGGTTGTGGTTATGGATATAATAAAAAATGTAGCGCAAAGCCAGCAGTTGAATGCAAGTGCGCAACGAGAATTCAAGGTAGTCGTCTTAACAGATGTGGATGAATTAACAAAAGATGCACAACATGCTTTGAGACGTACAATGGAGAAATATATATCTAATTGTCGAATAATTCTCTGCGCCACATCTATTTCCAGAGTTCTTCCAGCTATTAGATCCAGATGTCTCTGCATAAGAGTTCCGGCACCAACTGAAAGTGAAATAGTCGGTATCTTACAAAATACTTGCAAAAAAGAGGATCTGAATATACCTATTGAATTTGCAACAAAAATTGCGAAGAAATCAAACAGAAATCTAAGAAGAGCACTGCTAATGTGTGAAGCGTGTAAAGTACAACAATATCCATTCTCTGAAAACCAGAATATACCAGACCCGGACTGGGAAATATTTATTAAAAAGACTGCACAGAGGATTTTACAGAATCAGAATATTGAAACTTTAGCTAAAGTCCGAGAAAACTTGTACGAATTAATTACAAATGGAATTCCTTCTGATATCATATTTAAAATCCTTCTAGAAGAATTACTGCTGAATTGTGACATGGAGATTAAGACAGCAGTTGTTGAACAAGCCGCTATTCATGAACACCGCATGGCCCAAGGTAATAAAGCTATCTTCCATCTCGAATCGTTTGTAGCTAAGTTTATGTGTATATATCAGAATATGATGCAAGAGCTTGTTGCTGATTTTTAAACATGTTTGTATTGTAAATTAACTTTCATAAAACCTGTTACTTTAGAATTATATTGTTTTATTTAAGATCCTAATTCATGAAAAAGAATACAACGTTAATATTATTCCGAGTTATCTGTCATAATCGAAAACTTATATTTAAATGCCGATTAATTGTAATAAAATGATGATAACTCTCGACAACTACTTGATATACAATTTTAAAAGATAAAAATGATTAAAGTGGATATTTTAACATCTGATTTTAAACACTTATTATTATATTATCCACTATATCTCAATAGATATTGAAAGCAGAGAGTGAAACCCCTATTTTTTCTTATAATTTTATTTATTATGCTTATTGAATGACACTAAATTTTAATAACTTTATGTAATTTACATTGACATAAACTAAAATTATAAACCTAAAAGAACTTTTCAGGTCAATAGCAATATATATTTTGCTTCCCTCTGGTATTTTATTTAGCTTTATTCTTGTTGTGTGGTCCCTTTGATCTGTCTCGTTGCTTTCGTGCTGGGACAGTCTCATTAAATTTAACATCACCTTTATTTCCTTTAGCAGCGTGCACTCTCATATGGTACACAAGTGTCTGATTTTCGTTAAGAAAGGGATGTACCACATCCGAAGGTACAGAAATACATGCGTCTTCAAATAAAACCGAGTTACCTAAATCAACAGACTGACAGTAATTGCACAGCAATATTTTACGTTTATTGCGTTCAGGTTTGAAAATATCAATCTCATACCAATAATCTTCGGCCTCTGAAGCCTTCCCGATATACTGTACAGCCCAGCACCATTTTTTGTTGATTATTTTACATTTAAACCAAAACACTTTATCAAACGCCTCAACTATATTGACGAAGTAAGATTTCGGCTTCAGTTTAGTGTAGCAGACGTTATGTGCGCCGTAAGGTTTGGTGGGTAATTTTTTAGAAGCCCAGTGCCCTGGAATATCTTCTGCTCTTCCTACCCAAGGGCATTCGTCCATAGCACATTTGTAGCCTTTAAAGGGACACTTTGATTCGTGGATTTCTCTCTCGTTGTAGGCAAGTTTTAGGTTGCATCCAGAACTTTTATTTATGCAAGGATAACGCATTTTTACAGCCAGGCCTTCCAGGGAAATGTTTCTGGATTCCGTAAATACTCCCTGGCACAATGCGCATTTTGGCAGTTTTCTCCGGCAGTCTTCACAGATACTGTGGCCAGTGGCACATTGTCGTATTGGTGGGGACATGTAGTTGGTACAAATCGGGCATTCTAGTTCTTGTAGAAGATCCGTATAATGACTATCCATCTAAAAAGTTATTACTAAGTCAGCTTCTAATATGAAAAAACGGTGTAATTTTTTTTTACCTTACCTTTTGTTGCAGTTTTCTATAGTGGCAATATGTTTTTTTATTAAGGATGGTTTACTCTTATAAACAATAACTTACAAAAACCACTTACTAAGTAGCACTTACTTGATAAATAGACAATTATTTTTTAATCTTATCTAATCTAAAGATAAATAATTATAGGTAATTTCGCTACAATTTCCTCCTTTCCTCCATGCAAGTTGTGTATTTTATTTTTACACTTTTATAAATAAAAGCAGATATTATAAAGGAATTGTTTATTAATTCAAATTATACAAATTACATTTTGCTATACCTTGCGAAATCTATATAGAATCTAAAAACTATCAAATAGGTACAAATTTATTATCAGTTATAAGATAATTTCCACAACCTCTTACTATTCATTACTGGTACGTAGTAGTTCAGTTATCATGATTAAAAGTTTAACACACAGACCACCGTTTAACAAAACACCACAATTCACTTTTACACACAAGTTCTTTGTGAATTCAGAGGAAGTACATTCGAATTTGGGGGAAGTCCCTTATACAAAAATTTAGGCTGTTGCAAATTTAGGGGATTAACAGGAAACAAAACAGTTATTACTTGTAACATGAAAAAATAGATTTGAATTCAAATTCTTACAAAGAACTACAGTTTTGAAAAAAGAGATGCAATGTCAAGGGAAATTATAAGATTAATATTTGTACATACAAAAGCAAAGCTAATAAACGTGTAATTAAGGCATATGTTTACAACTTATCCTAGTTTAATCAGTTCAATTTAAGTTGTTAAACACTTCTGGAATGACTAAAATATTGTATCTATTCGAACAATCAAATATTTCATATGTCAAACGTAACAAAACTAATTTTTGCAAATTTAGGGGAAGTCCCTACACAAAATTGGTATTTGTCTAAAGTTAGAGGATTAACAGTGAATAATACACCTAATTATTATTTGAAAGTAAATGAATTTAAATGCAAGGCTAATATGTTTAAAACTTATCCTAGTTTAATCAGTTCAATTTAAGTTGTTAAACATTTCTGGAATGACAAAAAAAATGGTATCTCTCCGAACAATGTAATAAAATACCAAACATAAAAATCAAATAAATGCAAATAAGTAATACAACCAATATTGTAGAAATACTGCCAATTCCAAAACTATGATCACAAAATAGGAATATATTTTTATGGTGTCAAACGTTAAATGACACAAAGTCCATTTCAATTTAGGGGAAGTCCCTTACACAAAATTTGAGTCGACTCAAATATAAGGGATTAACAATGAACAATACACCTAATTATTACTTGTGACATGAGAAAATAAATTTGAAAGTAAATGAATTTAAATTCTTACAAAGAACATTTTTCAGAAAATAGACGCAATGTCAAAGGGAATTAAACGATTAATATTTGCACAAACAAATATGAAGCTAATTATATGCAAATAAAGTCTCATACATTTACAATTTATCCTAGTTTAATCAGATCAATTGAAGTTGTCAAAAACTTCTGGAATTACTAAAAAATTGTATTTATTCGAATAATGTTACAAAATACTTAAATAAATGCAAATAAGCAATACAACCAATATTGTAGAAAATCTGCCAATTCCAAAACTATTATCATAAAATAGGAATATTTTTATGGTGTCAAACGTTAAATGAAACAAAGGGGAAGTCCATTTGAATTTAGGGGAAGTCCCTAACACAAAATTTGGGTTGACTCAAATATAAGAGATTAACAATGAACAATACACCTAGTTATTACTTGTGACATGAGAAAATAAATTTGAAAGTAAATGAATTTAAATTCTTACAAAAAACTATTAAACATTTTTCAGAAAATAGACGCAATGTCAAAGGAAGTTAAACGATTAATATTTGCACAAACAAATATGAAGCTAATTATGTGCAAATAAAGTCTCATAGATTTACAATTTATCCTAGTTTAATCAGATCAATTGTCATCAAAAACTTCTGGAATTACTAAAAAATTGTATTTATTCAACTAATGTTACTACAAAATACTTAAACCTAATAAATGCAAATAAGCAATACAACCATTATTGTAGGAATGCTTCTAATTTGGAAATTCATATCATAAAATATTATTTTTATATTGTCAAACATTAAACAACAAAACCTTTGGAGCCTTTTTTTTCATCCTGTTTTCCTTCCTTCTTCGGTTTATCCTTTTTTTTATTTTGCGGTCCCTTTGGTATATCCTTCTGTTTTTGTACTGGGGCAGTTACACCGCTCGATTCTGGTTCCGCTTTATGTCCCTTAACAACATGCACCCTCATATTATAAGCAAGCAATTGGTCATCTCCAAGAAAAGGTTCAACCATATCAGAAGGCAAAGAAATGGCGCTCTCATATAACAGTGAATTTTCTATATCTACCGGCTTACAGTAATTAGTTAGTAATATTTTACGTTTGGGACGGTCAGGCTTGAAAATGTCAATTTCATACCAGTAATTTTCAGCGTCTGAAGACTTTCCGATGTACTGTACCACCCAGAACAGCTTCTTTTTGCTCACCTTGCACTTGAACCAAAATAAACGATTGCATGCTTCGACGATATTAACGTAGTAAGATTCTGACTTTATCTTAGTGTGACAGACGTTACTTGCCTGGAAAGGCTTGCTGGTTATCTTCTTTGATGTCCAGTGTTCAGAAATATCTTCGAGTTTCCCGACCCAAGGGCAATTCTCCATCGCACACTTGTACCCTTTAAACATGCACCGTGATTCATGGATTTCTCTCTCGTTATATGCAAGTTTCAAATTGCATCCAGAACTTTTATTTATGCAGGGATAACGCATTTTTACTGCCAGTCCTTCCAGGGAAATGTTTCTAGACTCTGTAAATACCCCCTGGCATAAAGCACAGTTTGGTAGTCTTCTCCGGCAATCTTCACAAATACTGTGACCAGTAGCACATTGTCGTATCGGCGGGGACATATAGTTGGTACAAATGGGGCATTCTAACTCCATTAAGAGTTCTGTGTAGTGATTGTCCTCCATCTGAAATGAATACTAAAGCTGATGAACATAAAACAACACTAAAATTAGGAGGCATTCTGCAACTGTATTTTGTATTTCACATTTTATTCGTAGCACTACGATATTGTACTATTTTATACTATTAAAATGGCTTACCTTTCCTATTACTCTCTAATCGATTAAATAATGAACATAAAAATGGCAAAAACGGGAAAAATTATATTTTTTTGCCACAAAGGAAGGTGGTCATGCCTAAAAGAACTTCGTTGTCGTTCCGATGTCAAATCAATTTATTTTACTGCCACGTGCCACGTGGTGGCCATTTATCTAGGGGTGGTGGTCATGCCAGCCATGTTCGCCGCGGTACCTAAAGCGCGAAATTTAAAACAGAACGAAGACTGCATGAAAATTGCAGAATATTTATCATGTTTAAAGCATGTGTTTAAAGTATTTGCTAAAATTAATTATAAAACAAAATTTTATAGTTTATCAAATTCCATGTTTAAAATGCATAACATAAAATACAATATCTATTACAAAATTGTCTTTTGTAATTATTTATTTGTGCCATTTTCATTATTTTTTTAAGTTGACAAGAAAGAGAAACTAAACAATTTCTTGTGCCAATAGCTTTGTTCCTAGTAGAATCCAAAACAGTTTCCAACAGTCAGACGCATGCGCATATGGTTGTAATGCTTACATAAGGTTCAAAATTCATTGTTTTGAATCAAATGCGATTGCGTCGGACTGTTGGAAACTAATTCTAATGCACTTGGAACAAAGCTAATACCTCTTGTTAGTTGCTCTTATGCCTATACCTGTCTCTCTCTCTAAACCTCCGTTACAGCTACATTCTCGGCCACTGAGGCGCTGCCTCCAGTCGGATATCACAGATAATTCGGATATGCTCTAAGTTTCTAACAGACCTGTATAATTTTACAAGACCGAAATTCCACAGTGTCGTGAATAAACACTTGAAAAAAATTGAAATAACAAGGCCATGGCCATACCCATGACCAAAATAAAATATGTAATAATAAAAATAAAAACAAAACTAATATATTTCATAAAATTAATTAATAATGTTAACAATAGCCTTTAATAAAGGCAAACAAAGCCGTATGAATTGACATATATGCAAGAAGGACGACCCCAATGGCCCATAAAATAGCCCTTGTTGGCTGCCTAACGACGTATATGGCATAAACGAATGTATGGCAAGCTCTAGTCACCAGATAGACTAAAAAAAGTACATTAACTAGCCACAGGGGCGGTGACGTCCACAAATAGCCCAAGCTTACAATGCAGAATATCGGGATGGTTTCCAAGTCATTTTGATATGCTCTGTAAAAAATACAAATAAATATATTTCTTTAGACCGCATATTATAATTGCAGTTAATTTACTACTACTACGATTTATCAGTTAGCACTTGACGTTTACAGATATGTTTAATTAATTTTACTTCAAATTCGCTATTGCAAAATATTAAAAAATAATGTTATCGCCTTACCTCCTTGGCCTTTCCACGTTTTCATTAATGTTTACTTCTCCTCCCTTCCATGCTGCATCTTCAGAACTTATAAAGGTCTAAAAAATATAATCAGTAAAAGTATTTGGCGCCATTGTCTTATTAGTTTATATGCGGCAATTTTTGAGCCTCCCTATATTTAACCTTATATAAAACTCGTTTTAAACAAGTTGTTAGGTGGCATCAATTAAGTAAAACATAATTTATGAACACAGGTAAAAGTTCACGTCCTTTAAATTTTAATTTAATGAACAGCGAAGCCATTTTTGCAAATGAGACACTTTTTTAATTTATTACGAAGTTTATATATATTTTTTATTTTAAGTGGCCTAAATATTTGTCCATCTATATCTATATAGGTACCTATAATATAATCTGATTTTCAAATATGTGTATAGAATATTGGTGGTTATTAAAATAATGTTGTTTTTTACTTACCTTCGTCTTCATCCTTTGTAATATTGTAAGAAAAGTAACGCCCAACATCTTTAAAGTGAGTAAACAAACACATATCAGATAACTGCAAAATGCTGGGTTTTCTATGGAAATTACATCGACCATTATTACCTTTCTATTTGAAATATAATATAATAAAAATAGACCCGTGTATGAATGGTGTTATTGTATTCGATACAGTACAACATTTAAAGATATTCGTCGTCAGTATATGCGATAGAAGCAAGGTTCAGTGTCATTTACTGGATTTTAGAAAGCTATTTTCATATTCTCTCATAACATAACTTGTAGATTTATACTTTTCCGAAGGTATGTACATATAATATCGGATGAGTTCGAATTTGATTTTGGTTTGCTTTTGGCAACAACCGCGCGGCTTATTGCTGCAAGAAAAATATTTGGAAAAAGAGCACTTCTGCTCTTTTTCTATGATTTAGTTACAAAATATTAAAAATAAATTTACGAATTAATTGAATTATTTCATATTTTTTGCTAGCCTAAAAAATTTTTTAGTCACAAATTTGTAAGGAAACAACTTCAAAATATGAAGGTATCTATAAATCCAAACAAATAAATTAACAGTACATTTTAAAGATGACAATATTTTACCATAGATATAAGAACCGAAATCAACATCTTGGCAGAGAACTACTACCATATGTGAGTTCTCTGATCTTGGCATCCGTCCCCACAGAGCCTAGTCCGAGAACAATAAGAGGATATTAAATATTCCTTGATAGGGTTGTGCAATGGTAAGTTTTTTATTGTACGATTTTCAGTTTATTTGAAAATAAAAATGTTATAATAATAGCCAAAGTTCAAAGATTCGTCTAAAAAGTGACTACTTACTTTCATTAAAGCCAAATGAACTCATTAAAAAACCATTTATGAACTTCCTGGTTGTCTGTCACACGTGTCAAATTGGAAGGAGAAGAAGAAAAAGCTGTCACTTGTCATAGAAAATTTTTAGGTTATAAATATTGTTCTTATTTTTATCAAATACTTATTTTTTGTTTTTTAGATAGTCAACCTAATAAATATAAATAATGGCATCATCCCTACTGAGGACAGGGGTCTTAACAAAATCTCCTTTACTGAAGAAATTGTAATTTTTAAGTTATATATATTCAAGTGTTGATTATATTATTTTTCTAGGGGGACACCATGTATATCAACATCAGCCATTAGGAAGTCAGAACCGCAAATTAAAAATGATGCTGCTCTTTTGAACCCCGAAGAAATTGAACATAAAAAGAAATTGCAGAATTACATAACGGTTGAGGGTACAGTAAGTTTAACTCTTATTTATGTCATTTACATCAATCATTATAATGTGATTATTTCAGACTGATATCTCTCCAATAACTGGCATTCCTGCAGATTATGTCAAAGAACGTAGGGTTAGAATTTATGAGCCTGCAAAAAACTGCATGCAAAGTGGCACGAATAATATAGGGCATTGGGAAATGGATTTTGACACTAAAGAGAGATGGGAAAATCCCCTTATGGGATGGTGTTCCACGTAAGTATGGGCAGTGTGCACCCAAAGTTTTTGTAAGTGCTTCACAACTGACACTAATTGGAAAAAAATTTTGAAGCCTGCTACTTTAGTAAATGGTTTCTTTTCCAAGTTTAAAAAGATAAAAAGAGAAATGTTTATAAATTATAAATCTTTTTTAATTGGAAATCATAATAGACTTTTTGTAGCGGTGATGGATTATCAAATATGAAATTGCAATTCGCTACAAAAGACGAAGCAATCGAATTCTGTGAGAAGAATGGATGGCAATATTACATTCAAGAAAGTAAACTTGACAAGAAATTCAAACCAAAAAGTTATGGAGTAAACTTCTCTTGGAATAAACGCACAAGAGTATCAACGAAGTGAAGTTTAATCTTATATATTTATTAAAAACGTTAATAAATCATTCTTGGTGTAAATTAATTAATAAATAGGTAATTCTAATTGTCGATTTAATTAGACCTTAAAATTTAACAGAGACCAGTTTCGGACTTATTAATTAGTCCTCATCAGACATGGTTTTGAGAATGGGTAATGTCCTACTGTCAAGGTATTACTTTTTACCTACTGGCCAGTGTTGCCAGGCGACCCACTATGGTTCGTCCCCAACAGACTTAAAAAAAGTCCTCTTTTGAAGAAAAATACCCCTTTACAAAATTATAATATTATTATCTCTTGCATATTATTCTGATAATATTAATGTTGCAATTTCCGATTATCTAAAAAAATAAAATATCTATAACATCATAATCGTATTAGTATCACAATCTATGCAACCAGTGTTATAGTCTTTCTGAAGTCAGTTGAACATATAAAAAAACGCCTGGCAATAAAATTTAATGAGTTTGATAGAGTCGTCCCTAAAAAAGTTTTCTAATAAAGGTAAAAAATTATAATGTGCAGAAAATTTCAATTATATGTTCATTTGGCCAACAACATATTTTAGTTATTGATGTCCTCAAATAATTTTATTATATTGATGGTAAATTTTGTTTTGTTCCGTTTCAAAAGATCTCCAAAATGCCATATGTTGTAATAATATTATTTCTCCCTTTCGCAATTGTAATATCAATGATTAATAGAAGGTGCCTATAATAAATTAAAATTACCTGAATTACACCATATTCCGCATTGCTGAAATTTATTGCCCAGTGGCCCAATGCAACTGTATTTGTATTTCGTTTGCCCGCGCTCGCGTTCTTCAACTAGGCGTATACATTTCTACCACCTCCACGTTTAGTTCGACTAGACCTGTATATGGGTTTGGCTAAATAAATATGGGAACAAGTTTTTCAAATATTTCAATGCCAAGTTGCTGCATCAGCCACCGAACCGGGTACATACTATCATACTCTTGGTTCTTCAATTGATATCGGTAAGACTTTTTTTATACAAGTTACTGACGTCCTAAGAATATTTTTAGTTTTTTCTTACGAAACAAAACCAAACATTAAAATTTGAAATCTGAAACCTGAAATCACGGAAACATGGAAGAGGCAACGGCAACAGACAATCACTGATATATACTTTATAAAAGAATGGTAGAGAAAGGAACACTACCTTCGCCTCTGTTCAGAATCGCCATTATTCCATGGCTTGAAATTGGCCTCAATGATTAAAGTTAATTTCATAATAAATAGCTGGTCACCAGAACAAATTAAAGGACGTTTTACTGATCACTGATTAGTGATCACCAACATTTACGTAAAGCCGTGCGAGAGTGTGGATAATGTAAATCTTTGGGATGATAAAATGTCCTCTGTTCTACACAAAAAACCCTTTTACCCCTTTTATGTGAAAAAACTCCCTAAAAGGTGTAATGTCCTCCCATCTGGCAACACTGCTACTGGCAAAGTGACCTACTGTAGGCGTTATGAAAGCAAGCTAGGTTTGTTTGACACTAAGAGAAATATTTTTTAACTAATGATGTAGGAAATTATTGCCCTGCGAGCACCAAGTTTTATACAGGGTGATTTATTAACAATGGGAAAATCGAAAGCTGAAGATACTACACGTGAAATGTAGTATTTGTTTTATTGTTAATTATTGTAATAACACGAAGAAACACTTGGTTTGTTTCGCTTTTAATTTCTCGTATTATCAAAACATAGTGTTTGTTAAATCGATTTTTCTCAAAAACAGATCGAGATACCGAAATGAAACAAGAGTACATAATTAATAGAAAAATGATAGCTCATTCAGGTTTTGAATCAAGTTTCATGTTAAATATACAGGGTAAAAAGTTAACTAAATTTTCAGTAAAATTGGTCATAAGTGGCGCTCTCTATGAGCAATGATGAAACTACAACACGCATCTTATTCGTCGCCTAAAAAAATATAGTTTCACAAATTTTCAAGTTCCTAACCTACATATTTTCAGAATAATCACAAAAAAACGATTTAAAATTTTAACTTTCAACACCTTGTATTTCCGAAACTATCAACTTTCGGATAAGGCATGTTTGCGCCAATGGTCACCATTTCACGTGTAGTATCTTCAGCTTTCGACTTTCCCATTGTTAATGAATGACCCTGTATATCGTATATTTTGGTAGATTGCATTAATATCATTTTGCCTAGTGTAAGTCATGCTTTAACAGCACCTAGAGATTAGCAGGTCACTCTTTGTCAGTACGTAAAAAGCAAACTTTGTACCAGTAGGCGTGATGTGAAGTATCAGCAACGTTAAAGGTATGATTAGTTTAACAGAGTAGAACAAGGAACTGACAAAAAAATATAAAACGAAATCATTTTATTTTGAATCACATTTGTTCATCAACAATTTAAATTAGGGAAATAATTTACAGTGATATATTATTTAATCAGATTAACAAATAGTGTTAATTTATGACACAAGATAAAATTGGTAACTCGATTCCCTACAGACACTTAAAATTTGAAAAAGTCTTTAAATAAAAATACATACATAATTCAACAATCAAATTGTTTAATTTCATAATTTATTGCAATAGATTACTTAAAAATTGAAATAATTCTTTAAATATAATGTTTATAAAAGGAGCGAACTGTATCAATAAAACTAATTTATATACGTATAAAAAAAAATAGTAAATGCAAAAATATGTTTTTTATTTTGTATTCACTCGCACATATCATTTACCATTTTTTCTAAATCATTATCCGTGTCGATATCTTTGTGTTGATGAACGTCGGGCGTCACTTCCATACTATTCGTAGGGGTCGTCGTCGTCGCTTCCTCCTCCTCCTCCTCCTCCTCTTCTTCTAGATCGGTGGGGGGTTTCAATTTAAACAGCGCGTCTTTTAGCTGCTGAAAGATTTTCTTAAAGGTCTCCAAGGTGCTCGTCGGCGATTTCTTACTCGACCTCGTCGTTTTCTTCTCCTTTTTCACCTCTTGCTCCACCTCGCCGATCCATTTCTCTACCTGCGCTATAATTTCGTCGCGTTTCAGATAGAAGTGGGTGTGGATGATTTCTTTAAAACATGGGCAGGGTTTTAGAATTTGTTCTAGCATGGCCCATCGCACGGTCGCCTGACATATATTTAAATTATAGTCTCTCGAGCTGACTGTACCCGCGGGTGTGCCCCTAGCTCGCTCGTAGCCCGGCTCGTTGAAGTACGGTTCCGGTACGAGGATCAAACTTTGAATCGAAACTAATACTTGCAGGAAACTGGAGGTCTGCGCGTTCCACTTCTCCTCGGGCCTACCGTGCCAGGTATTCAACACGGATAAGCATACTTTGCCGTCATTGTATAAATTTGGATTAAACCTAACGCTGTGGTGGCCCGTGGTCTGCAAATTTATCATCATGGGGGACAGGGCGTAGTCGGGAGGGAAGAAAACGTCAAACTCGAAACAGCCGTTCGCGTATGGGGTGTCTGCAGGGCCCGTTATGAGCACCTTCATAACGTCTAATCGTGAAGTATCGTATCTTACAAAAACAGAACTACTATAACTTAAGGGTAAACTAGTCGATAATGTCACAGCCTCTTGCGCTATCCGCTTCACTCTGGCGGGGTGGGATTGCTCGCCCGTCGCTTTCGCGTTGCTCTCAAAGTGGTGGGATACCACGAATTTTATCCCTCCCTCCGGCAATTCAGTTATCATCTCGAATGATCCTGAAAGTAACACTTTGTCAGAGATCTTACAAGATGTACATTTTAAATTACATGTAAGGTACAAAAAACCTAGAAAATGTTATAAATGTTTGGACAGGAGACCTAGAAACTATCCGCAAAGTATTTATGGGGTGATTCTCCTCTTAAATGTAATATTATACATTGGTATGACACTTTTTCAAACAATTGGTATTAGTGATGGTGTATATGACAAACAGTTGGCGGCTGACTATTTTTTCCGTTTTTTCAAGTTCTTAGGTTTGTTTGTTTTGGCATACAACTGATATTTTATTAGGCATCGGGTAATACATACACATTAGTTCAAGCACTGTCTTCTAAAACGCAGCACCCGCTATTTCTAGTCTGTTCTATTGTCCTGTTGCAGTGAGTCTCCTTGTGTGGCAGCACATTACAAGATTTTTGAGAAATGTTGAGGTTATACAGGGTGTTCCTAAATATCATGTACATAAGGAAGGGGGTAATTCTTTGGCTTATTGACTAAAAGTTCATATAAACATAGGTCTGCAAACCCTTCGTTACCGATCTACAAGGTGTTGAAATTTTAAGATTTTTTTAGTTTTAAGATAATTTCTTGTTTCTACTAATTTTGACAGTTCGCATTTGTACTCACATAGTAACTTGGGTCTGCATATGTTTAAAAATTAAAGGTTTATGTTACAAACTGTAAGGTGTAAAAGTGTTTCCAATACTCATTATAATTTCATAACAATGCCAAATTATACGAATTTTGAAATGGGTTATCCCAGCCTTAATTTTAAACAGGTGGCGAATAAACTGTCAAAATTAATAGAAACAAGAGATTATCTAAATAAAGCCAAAGCCTACTAGACCATTTTAAGAATTTAAATTTTATCTAACGAATTACATAAAATCGTTTGTTTTTTCTCGATAATGGTCGCAGATACGAAAAAATCATAAGACACAAAGAAGTTTCTCAACAAAACATAAAATCCAATTTTGATTTTAGAACTTACTAAAGGGGATATGAACCACGAAAAAATATCACTCTGTGGAATATCACAACCATTTGGCATGTCCAATGATGTAAGCCCTACAGCGTAACCTATATTCCAAATTTGAGCTAAATATCTCAAAAACTGTGGGAGATATAGACAAAAAACTAAAAAAATCTTAAAATTTCAACACCCTGTAGATCGATAACGAAGGGTTTGCGGAACTATGTTTATATGAACTTTTAGTCATGAAATAAGCCAAAGAATTACCCCTTCCCTTATGTACATGATATTTAGGAACACCCCATATTTGTACTTACGTATTTTTAAATCTATAAATTAAAAACATTAAAATATCACGGCATTATGTTTCTTATTATGAGAGTAAAATAGCACATAGTTATTAGTAACGTTTTCTCAAAAATGTAACGTTACGCGAAAAACGTCGATTTATTACCTGAGATTTATTTCGAGTAATGTGCAGTCGCTACACTACAGGTTTCTCATGACCATGAAGTTAATAATTACAAGATCCTTTATCGAANTGTTGAGGGAAGTTTTCCAAAATCGACTAATAAGTCTCAATGCTGAACATGAATTTCCACCAAGGTCATGTGATATTACGCCGTGTGATTTCTTTTTGTGGCCTTACCTTAACCCTTTCGCTGCGCAATACGTCTGAACGTAGCTACCGCGTCGTGCGCGAAAGTTTATTGCGTGCGAATATATACGTCTGGAGCAGTTAGACCACTTATATTTTTACATTATGTTGTTAAATTACGATTTACGATAAATTTTACGATTTTATAATAAAATACAGTATATGTACTAAATAGAAACTAAAAAAGAAACATGAACAATCTTGGTATTATTACCAGTACCTCTCTCCATAAAAATATTTGTCACAATCGGTATTGGCTCGCCCGCAAAAATTCGACTTACCAATTGCAATAACCGAGTCACAATGCGCATGGTTGCGAATATATATACGGTTTGAGCAGCCTGATCTAATTTAACTATTTATGCGAATTAATCCGTCTGGAGCAGTTTGAGCCCTATAAATTTTTAGCGAATATATACATCTGGAGCAGTGAAAGGGTTAAAAACACTATTTTTGAACTGCCTATTCCTGATTTAAACCATCTACAGGCTCGACTTATAGACAAGATTCGTGAAATTAACAATACCCCGAGCATCTTAGAAAATGTCTTTAATTCTTTGAGGAACAGGTGTGAAAAGTGCTTGGAACAAGGAGGGGGACACTTTCAGCAGCTGCTTTAATTTATTGTTATAACAAGGAGGGGGACACTTTCCGCAGCTCCTTTAATTGTTTGTTATTGTTATCACGATTATTCTTTAAAATAAAGTTATATAGTCATTAACGTTATTGAAACTGACAGCTGCTATACAGCTCGTTGAGAAATGAGGTTAAGTTGGTCGCTATAAGCTACTCCCTACGTCCAATGTGTCAGAGCCAACTTCG